TCGCCCGAGACGGCCCACTCGTCCGAACGTGATGAGCGGGGGCCCCGAACTTGACCTCAGACCTTCAAGAGTTGCCGGGCCGCAAGCGCGACGGGCTCCTCTAGGTCAGGCTCACCGGATAGCGCTTCCTTGATATCGCGGACAAGTTCGGACCCAGGCCCAGAGACAGTGACGGCCTCAAGCGCACGAACGTGGAAGAGCTCAGGGTGCAAGAGGGTGACGTCCGAGTTGTCTTTGGAGATGCCGTGGTCAGGCCGGGCGGGAGAGAGTGTCGGGGCGGCCCATCTGGCGACCTGGGACGTGGTGCAGCATGAAGTCAAACCTAGAAAGATACAACGACCATCGGGCTTGCCGATGGTTAAGGTGCTGTGCCTTTCGGAAATACTCCAAATTCTTATGGTCAGTCCAGATCTCGACCGGATGCGCGGCGCCCTCGAGGAAATGCCGATACTCCTCGAGTGCGCGGATGATCGCTGAGCATCTCCTTGTCGTGAATCTCGTAGTTGCGCTGGACATCATTTAAGCTTTTGGAATAGAACGCTACAGGGTGCCACTTCCCGTCCGGGGCGGATTGTTGTGAAAGAACCGCCCCGGCATAATATGAGCTGTCTGCTTCAAGTCGGAAAGGCCGAGAGTCGTCCGGGATCGCTAAGACAGGCTCTGAGACGACCGCGTCTTTGATAGCTTGAAAGGCGGCGGCCAGGCGTCTCCCCAGGTCCATTTCTGGTCTTTCTTGGTGAGCGCAAAGAGAGGCTGCGCGAGGGCTGAGAAATCCCGAATGAACCTGCGGTAGAAATTAGCAAACCCCAGAAACTGCTGGACGTCCTTCTTGTTTTCGGGCGGAGGCCATGCGGAGACTCCGGCGACCTTAACGGGATCCATTTCAACGTGGTTGTGAGAGATGATAACCCCCAGGTACTCGATCGACGATTTCTCGAAGTCGCACTTCTCCTTGCGAAGGTACAGCTTGTGCATTCGGAGTCTCCGAAGGACTTCGGGACGATCTCGCGGTGCTTACGGAGGTCCGAATGTGCGATAAGGATATCGTCGAGGTAGATCATAACGTCTCCTGAAAGAATGAGATCCTGGAAAATGTCATTCATCATCGTCTGGAAAGTCGCGGGGGAGTTTGTCAGGCCAAAATACATCACCAAAGGTTCGAACAACCCTCGGTTAGTCCGAAAGGCCGCCTTCCACTCGTCTCCTTCTTTAATCCGGACGTTGTTGAAGCCCCAACGAACATCGAGTTTAGTGAAATAACGGGCACCCTTGAGCCTGTTGATAAGGTCATTAATCAACGGGAGGGGGTACCGGTTCTTAATCGTCATTGCGTTGAGGGCGCGGTAGTCCTGGACAAACCGAAGTCCTCCGTCCTTTTTCTTAACGAAGAAGACGGGGGAAGCCATCGGAGATTTCGAAGGGCGGATACGGCCGATAGCAAGTCCCTCCTCGATGAACTCGTCAAGTTCGCGCTGTTCAAGGGGGGAGATCGGATACACCTTGCAATTAGCGGGCTTCGGCTCGGGAACGAAGTTCGATAGCGTGGTCCCAAGCCCTCTGCTCTGGTAACGTGTCGAAGGACTCCTTGTCAAAGACGTCTTGGAACTCCTTGGCCCAGTCCGGAATTTCCGAAGGCGGGGGGCCGAAGTTACGGGCGAAGGCCTCTGCAAGGCGTTGGGACACGGTGCTCCCAGCGCGAATCTCCTTGATTGGGCGAAAGGAGGTGTAGAAGATGCGGTCGCCGTCTTCAAGATGCTCGTTGTCGTCGAGGTCTGGCGAGGGACTCAGAGGGTCCGAAGTAGCTCCGAGTTCGTCGTCAGCATCGTCTGGACCGGCAATATTGATAGCGCAAACGGTGGGGAAGGCGCCCGAGAGCAAACGCGATTTGAAGAGTCGGAGGCGCCGAACCTCAGCGCGCTCGGTCCGTTCCTCGTCGCAGCAAGTGGAGCAGCTTCGGGGGCATCGACTCATTTTCACCTCTTTCGTTTCCCAGTTGATCTCGGGGTTGTGTTTCTTGAGCCAGGAGTATCCGAGTATCAAGTCCTGTTTCCCAAGGTGGGTTACAGCCAGCTGAACGCATTCGGAGTGTCCGTTGTACCGTAGAACGAGGGAGCGAGGTCCGCGATTTGGCAAAAGAACGAGGTCCGCGATTTGGCAAATAGACCCAGCATCATTGGGAGTACCGTCGACATTGTAGACCGGTATGGGTACTGAGAGATTTCGGACTGGCACGTTGTTTCGGTTGACGTATTCTGTGTCGATAAAGTCCGAAGTGGCTCCGCAGTCGACCAGACCTGAGAGGGAGAGCTTGAGCGCGTTCGCAGTGGACTCAAGTTCGAGAGGAAGGTGGAGCGAGTTAACCCCAGGAGCGGCAGAGATGGTATAGCTGCCAGGTAACTTTTTCTCCCAGGCAAGTCGGCGAATCCGAACGGGGGCTTCGGAGGGGGCAGGGGGTGCGTCTTTCGTTTCAGGCTCGTTGTAGGGCAAGGGAGTTGATTCATCATACAAACAAGTGAAACGATTTATGGACGCAAACGAGGGCACACCAGTCACTCGTCGCGGGGGACAAAATCCTCTGCCGGAGCCTCCGAATGCGCCTCTGCTAAGGCCGCGGTATCGGACAGCCGCGCAAGCAGCTCTCCCAGCATCTCGTTGCCAAGTTGCTGGATCACCTCGTCAAGGATGTCCACATGGCGAACATCGGCGGGGAGCGGACAATCCCGAGCCAAGTGGTTGGGGTCGCCACATCTGAAGCAGGCTCGACGAGGGGCGCCCCGAGCCCTAGTACGATCCAACTCCATAGGGACGGGAGCCGGAGGTACCGAGACGGGGGCGCGGGCCGCGGGTGGCGCAGGTGCGGCCACCGGGCGGATGGGGAACGGAGTTGCCGAACGGGCGATAGGGAATGCGCCACGCGGAGCCCCCGAAGGCGTCCGCGGGGTGGTCCCTTTGATGAGCTTCGCCCGTACCAAGGCTTCGTATTGGCGGAAAGCCCGAGTGCGCCAGCCCAGATAGTCACGGAGGTCTGGGGGGTCATTCGAGGATGTGATGCCATTGTTGATCAGGGGGTCAAGTCCATGGCGGTACTTGGTCACCTTAACCAACGCGTCTTCGAATCCGGCGAGGTCCATTAGGTCCTCAAAGTCGTCGGTGTATCCGTAGACGTCCCGCGTTCCCATGTGATAACCCGCGCTTTCCAACTTGGCGAGCGCGAGGTCTTGCTCGTTCTCCTCAACGAACCGAAGGCGAAACTTGGAGAGGAATAGGTTCCACCGAGGGAAGGGGAACGGGGTTTTGCTTCCATGACGCTCTGCCCACTGCTGGGCAGGTCCCTCCGCCATATAGGACATGGCGTAGCGGATGGCCTTTTCTTCGCTCGGCTCTCCGTTGACCACGAAGGCCTCCGGGGCAAGCCGGGTGTAAGTCTTGACCGCGTATAGGAAGGCACGGCCACGTTTGCGATCTCCGTTAAACGCAAACGGGGGGTTTGGCCGTAAGACCAGTTTTGAGGCGACAGTAATGTCACCAAATAACGCATCCGCGTCGGGGGCATTCGGAGATACCGAAGGCAGTTCGGGAGCTGCCAAAGGTGGTGCGGCAGCGGAAGCCTGGGAAGCAAGGTGGGTGAGGATATTGGTGAGGTTGTCTAGTTTCGCCTCAAGTGCGTCCATGCGCGCATCAGCGTCCGGAGCAGCTCCGGTAGACATAGCGGGCGTAAGGACGACAAGAGCAGAGGAGGAGGGGTCAAGTGGCAGGGGCGGTGACGAGGGGGGTACGGACTCGTACTCCGAGCCTGAATCAGCGCCAAACCTGGCAATCTTGACCGGTTAATCCTGTAGAGAGTTTCTTCTGCTGTAAGGGCAACCCTGGAGACTCTGACGAAAGCCTAGCAGGGGAGGATCCAAAGCGTGAATAAAAGCTACGGAAATACACGGAGGGACCGACCTAGCAGGGGAGGATCCAAAGAGAAGAAACTCTAAGGGTCCGCCTGCTAGGGCGCCAACTATATACTGGTCGTCCGTAACTGCCGACGTAGACCGCAGAAGGCCTGAGCGGCATCGCAGGCTCTGTCCCAAGGTGATCGTTGGGAGTGTCTTGACGGATCCGGTGATTGTGCGGGTGAAGGAGGCCGTGGACGATGGTCGGGGGTGGGTCGGAGCGTCCGAGGGGGCACCAGTCGGATGCGCCTCGGATGCGTTCAGAGGGTCCGAAGGAGGCCGAAGCGGGGGTTCCCCTGACACTAATTTGGTACAAATTGGATCACTCTCAGTGAATTTTATTTTCCATATGGTTTTGACAATGTACCCATTTTTGTCATACTACTGTACTAATCCGACCGCAAGTTCAGGTTACGCGTTACACGCGCACCTGAACTGAACCTAATTGAAATAGGTTACATGTTACACAGAGATTTGCCATCAAATTTCGCTCAATTAGGCAACAATAGATCAAAATTTTGCGGCCAGCTGTTGCCGGCCTGCCATATATAGTAATTTCATCACTGATGAACTTGTTATGGTGCCAATGCCCTAGTCACCACCATTTTGGGACATTGAATTGATGGCCTCACTGTGTGGGGAAGGAATGTCTTGGCAGACAATTCCTCTAATGAAAACACTTATATTAGGCCTAGGAACAATCCTTTAAGACACTTTGTAAAAAATACTCAAAAATAAAAAAGTTAAGACCTGCAGAATGAGCATGCTTATATAATCCCTATATAAAGTATGACATAAGCTCTGCCAGAAAAGTGCGGAATTTTGCGTTGAGCAGCTTAGTCAGCCATTAGTCAGCTGTCCCGATTTGGAGGTGATCAGCCCGGCGGCACCATACATTTCGAGTTCGATGGGTTACGTGTTCGCCCCACTTGCGGTCAGATTGGTACAGTATTTCTCAAAGTTAAATTCTCTTTGGGGAAATATTTTGTGTCCCAAACCCCCACTTCGATGATGCTATCTATCATACTGCTTCATTACATGGAAAACATCATATTCTAATTTTCATGTCCCTTTAGCATAGAACAAGTAAAGTACCCACGCAACTACGATCATTGCTCCCATAATCCCCAAGCCCACGAATGTCCACATCCTCACAGGGCGTCTCAAAGCAACTCCCTTCAGATTCTCTCCGCTATTCGCATCCTCGTCCTCCCGAGCTTCGCGCTCACGCTCCGACATCCTGAGCACGCCCCCAAAATACCTTCGATCCAGCGCGTCGTAGACCAGTCCGTAGAAGAAGTCCACGCCTTTGAGCGCTATAAGGAAGTACAGCACGTTGTCGTAGCTGATGCATGATCAGACCAATCTAAGAAAAAACCAACACACTAGAAACGGCTCACGTATGCCTTCCGGTGGGAGTGCGGTCTTGGATCGCACCAGCGGAGACGTCCATTATAACGGACCCAGCATTGTTGAACGCTTTCCATACGCCGAAAGCCTGGATCGCGGCGCTGAGTCACGACCTCGATCAGGGTACGAATTCAGGAAAACCGCACCGTTCCGAGATAAGTCTGAGAAGGAGCCAGCAGAGGAATGGCAGCGATGAAGGGTATGGCGTTGAAACTGAGCGCAACAGATTGGAGGATCGTCCTAGTGAGGCATGGTTAGTTCCACTGTAGGATCGACATGGTAGAACAACCTACGGAACAAGAGGATGAACGTCGGTAAAGCCCATCAGCGAGTAGACCAGAACCCAAAGGGCGGCAGTCCCCGACACATAGTACATTCGCCTGCCAAATCTATCGAAGAGAGCTCCAACGCAGCTAATATAGAACATTAAGCGTCGATCAGGATCATAGTTTCGACACGAACGGGGTTACGAAGATAGGTATAACTAAGTTTGAGAGTTAGGCTGGTAAACTCAGGTGACCATAAAGCGCACTTTGGCTAATCGAGCTCGTATATCCAGCCACAAGAGCAGTCGATCCTCTTGTTTGGGTCATAATATCCGCAGTTATACTGCCATAGGCACCTACATTTCCTGCCTGGAGCAACTGGGTCAGTGTGATGATCCAAAATGCCGCTGGGATGGACACAAGGGCGGCTAGAGAGAATTTTCGACTAGTTTTGTCGTTGGTCGGTACCAATCGTGCCGGAGCAGGTAGCCTGCGCTCTAGCGCGACGTAGATGATGTTAATGAGCAGCGTACAAGCGGACATGATGGCGGAGATCCAAATTGACCAGCCCCACCAATGTGTCCCTTCGGCTATGGGCACTGAGGTTGCCTTTGCAACGGCTGATAGCAAGGTCAGCGGTATATACCGATTCACAGAAGCAGCACTAAGCGTACTATTGATGACCCTGCCAAAGGCGATATCGACACCATATACTAGGCCTAAATGGTTTCCGTAGAACCAATGGGTATACAGCTTGGACTGACACGTCTCGATTGTCGCTGTCTTCAAGTCAATTCAAGAGAAAAGCGCGCAGAGTAATACAAACATGAGCCTAAACCCATAATGACATTACCGGCAACCAACGTACCAAAGCTGGCTTTGCTGGCACCGATCCCGCTTATAAGAGTGCCTAGTAACACTGCAACTACTCGGGAATGAGACGGAGTGTGGGTATCAGAAAGACAAGCACGCACCAGAAGATAACAAAGAGCCCATTTCTGGGCCGAACCAGTCAATTGCGACACCACCAATGACGGGCATGACGGTATTGACAAGGGAGTTTGCTGAAGCAATCTCCGACAGGTTTAGATAGATCATAGCTAGTGGACAACGGCGTACCACTCCATATCGTGCGTTATTGATGTGTAGCTCTTTCTTGAGTGTGGATTTGAGCGGAGACAGAGATGCCGACGCCCAATTTGAGCCAACTGAACGCATGCGTGAGGCGGAAAATATGACGGAGATGAGAAGCTCACTGGTGAATAGCAAGACGCAAAAGACAGCAGGGCCTTTGACTCGCCATGGCCGGTTGATGATTCTCAACGAGTCAGAGCCTTCTTCGTCAATCTTCTCGCGGATAATGGACTCTCCGGTCTTGTGTTCCAAGACAGGGAGCTCGACATCCTGCTCTTCCTGCTCCTCGACTTTCTTTTCATTGTCGTTCTTCGGCAAGTCGGATACTGACATGGTGGCAGAAGGGAAGAGAAGTCAGAGGCAAATCCTTCTAGCGGCCCGAGTCTGGGCAACGTGGTGACGTCAATGTCTTGCTTCCACGGATGTTTCATTGCCAAAACCGATTGATTAGAGAGTTAACACGCTATCAGATAAGTCCCATCCTTGGCACTCGTCAGCAGCAGGCCCCATTGTAAAGTGATTCACTCACCAAAATTATGCCTCTCGCTCTTTCTTATCATCCTCCTCCGCCTCCTCGTCTTCTTCTTCATGAGGCTCGTAGTCTTCTTCAATGCGCCCTATGTCTCGCCGTAATGCCCTCGCCTCTGCTCGCAACTCCGACCATCGCTCAATGTCTAAGCCATGTGCCTTGTACAGCGTTTGTCGTCTTGTCGATATGGAAGTGTCCAGCACAGAGGAATAAGAAACTTCTCGACCCTGATACAAAAACCTGCGAGGATTGATAAGTGATAATGAGCAAAAGCAAAAGAGACTGAGAGTCAAAGAACAAAACAAACCAAAGATAACCGCAAATGACCGTGCTCAGTCCAGACAAATACGTTATGGGCTCCATGATATCCCAGCCATAGTCCCAAAACGTTAGGCGGGCCACAACACCCCAATAAACAACGAGCATTCCGAACCCAGCAGTGGCCATTCTGCGAGCCCCACGATGAGCCTCCGCATCACATGTCCTCTTGAGTTTCTCCATTTCCGCCAGCTCAGCTTCTGCATGAGCGAGTCTTCGTCGAAGAAAGCGAGTGCGGTCGGCAGCAGTGGGAACTTGGACATCGAGGATCACACCATTTGATTCAGCGTCGTCATAGGTGATGTGGACAGAAAAATGTGCTGCCCTCGCAGCGTCGCGAATGAAATCCCCGACATCCGTCGAATCTGACCATCGAAGGAGTTGATTTCGTGGTATTGGGCGATGGCGATGGCTGCCATGACCACTCCGGAAGGAAACACTGGGCGGGGGGTTGGCCCGGGCAAATGGTTCAGAGGCTTGTATGAGGCGTGCAATGTGGGAAAGTGGCTGCGCTGGGTGGAGAAGTAGGACAGTCGGTGGTAGGGTATGCTCTTTCGCTGGTTCTCTGGATATCGACCGGCTTTCAGCGTCAACCTTGACAGTGCCAAGTGGGAGAATGAGCTTAAATAAGTGCGAAGACGTTGGACTTAGTTTTCCTGGATGAGTATAAGCGCAAGCGCCGGCTCAGACAGATGCTAACGCACCGATACCATCTTCCAAGCCATCCTCGTTGTCTCGTTCTTTCCACTTTTTCTGAGGACCCGCAGTGGCAAGGAATTGCGAGTGGCTGACAGAGGTGTTCTCCGTTGTAGAGTAGAGCCTCCATGGCAACCTCCGCCTGCAGAGTTGTACCGTCGACCGAAGTGCTAGCCACGACATGGAGGGAGGAGCGAAATGTTATATCTGACGTCATTTCAAGTTGGCTGGACAGAGCATACCACGTGCAATGTGACATAACGTGAACAAGACGAGAACTTTCACTATGAGTGCGTTTTCTGTCTCCAATCAATGAAGGCTCTTTTCATAGACGTCATGCAGCTAGTTCCCTTCGTCTAGACTCCCTTCGCAAACGTCAGGCTCTTGTTCTTGGACGCCTCCGTAAAAAGCGAGAAGAATTCGCGAAACTGGAGCAGGAAGTCGACGACATCCAGTGGGAGCTCGAGGAATACAAGTACCCCGTCCTGACACTTCCGAAGGAGATAATCTCACGCATCTTTACCCACTTCCGCTCTGCTCGACGTGCTCCATTGCTGGGTCGGTATTCTCCTCTTGTCCTTGCCCAGATTTGTCATCATTGGCGCGAAATCGCACTCAACACGCGCACTCTTTGGAGCTCGTTCATCATCACCCTTCTCCCCCACAAGTCCTCGACAGCGTCAATGTCGACATTGAAAATCGTCAACCTATTTCTCGAACGTTCAGACCCCGTACCACTTTCCTTTGCTCTCGTCTGTGAAGGGAAACATGATTCGCCATATGTTTACATGGTCATGGAGCTCCTCGCGTCACATTCGTCGCGATGGCAACACGTCTCTCTTTGTATGCACCCAATGCCTCATCTCAACGCAATTGACGGTCCTATGCCACTCCTTCACTCGTTAACCGTCGTCTCCCGAAAGAATAATGGGGCTATGATACGCTTTCCGGATGTTCCGAAGTGGGCTCCAACAAACTCTTTCCAAAAAAGCACCATCACTCGAGGTGGTCAGATTGTCTTTTGACCGCGACTCATATACCGACATAATACCTTGGTATCAGCTGACAGTCATGAATCTAGAGAGCATAGAGCTGCGACAATTTGTTACTGTCCTTCGCAACTGTCAACTTCTAGTCCATTGTCGGGCAACCATAGCTCCAGTGAAGACTTCTCATGAAGATGAAGTTTAGTCAGTCCTTACCCCACTATTGTCCACCACATGTCAACTTACATTGGTGTTCTCAGTTTCAAAGCGCTTCCAATCATTCATCTTCCCCACCTGCAAGCCTTCCTATTACTCCGCTGGAAATATCACTTGGCGGAACGCTTTACTCTGAGTCTCGACTCATACGGCAACCTAGCTCTACTCAAACTTCGTCTTCCCGCCCTACAGCTGCTTGAAGTACCCGAATGCATGTTAGGAAATGAGCCAATCAACGCCCTTGCCGCGCTTATTGCGCGCTCTGGATGTGCCCTGCAGGAGCTTTGTATTCGCGACGGGGGGAGAACGCTCATGGAGCCCTACGAAGACGCCTTCCCAAACATCAGCAAGATATTCTTCGGTACCATGGACATGACGGGGAGAGGGGTTTTCGAAGACGATTCAGAGGAGTGGGCTGACGGGACGGAATCGGAAGATGATTGAGAGCTGACCATGAAGCATGAAGAAGTTTCCGATCCAACTTGAATGTCGCCGCCATGGTAGAAAAAGAGCATGGGTATCCAGGACTAGTCCAGGATCATCCGCTACGTGACAAGCACTGCAGCTGATGACTTTGAACTAAGAAAAAGGAGTGGGGAATACTATACTATAGACTAAATCTACCAAGACGAGCTTACAATGTGTCAAGGACAAACTTGGCATGTAGACACAATAGCTCAATTCAGAGCGTGAAAGAGAAACGAAGGCCATAAATATATGCGAACGAAGCTGAGGCCGCTGGCACCGCAAGACAAGCTTGAAGTTATATATGGGGAATGAAGGAGCTCCACGAAAAGTCGACATATACCCCAGACGGGAGATTGCGGAGGGTGGTAAACGGAAGCGCGAGTAGAGTCATGCGGGCGAGGATATAGACTACGGCCAAAACATGGTTGGTCGACATGACGGCTGTACGCAGTGCACCGTTCTTCAGCCCGGAGGAAGCCATTGCGAGAATGAGACCAAATAATGGGATGATGATGATGGCTGTAGCACTCGCCCGCCACATCCAGAGCTCGATGACCGAAGGGAAGTGGAGGTCCCACGCTAGGAGGTGTATGGCGCCAAATAAAAGGGAGATCAGGAATTGTAACGCAAGGGCTTGCAAGGGGGTAGCGGAGACTCCGGACTTGTTTTTTGGCCATGGTCCTGGCCAAAATATGGGCACGGCCGTTCGTTGTTTCATTTCGGGTGTTTTTGGGTAGGTCCCGAAGATCGTTGCGGTCAGAAGTACCCCCAATTGTTGGGACCACGATTGGTGGGCGAGTAGGCCGTATTCTGACTTAGGCTTCTAGATTCAAGCCATCAGCTTCTAACAATATCCAAACACGATTGGCTTGCCTCAGTGTGGCGAGTTTCGCAACCGTCATTCCCAACCTCGGACTCGACCAGCGTGGTATCTGTACCACTGCGACATAAAGATGTCTAGGAAATATCTGGTGAATTGGTGACCTTAACGACACCGAAATGTTACTTGGTGTTGGAGACCATTGCCGGGTTCTTCCATCTTATACCCGGGAACAGATCTGGGAGGATCGTCTGGTTCACCACTCATAGCGTCCGAGGTGGACACGACTGTATCGCTGTCACTATCGCTTGCATCCAATTCTGCTTTAACCTAAGGAAGCATGATGAGAGCGACTCTTGAGTCAACAGAAACGTGGATACCTCAACGACAAGTGGACTTTGACTACTAGTTCGGACGACTTGATTGCCCAACTGCTGAAGGACTGCATAAGACTAGATTTAAACCAGAGGAAGTGCATACCTTCAGACCCAATTCTTTCCCTGGCTCAATGTCCAGTCGAATCGCCTCACCAACATCTTTCGGCTTATCCTTCCAAAACCACCACGTGCAAAGAGGAATGAAGGCAAAGGCGACAGTCGCGATTTCCAGTTCCGACAGCGGAAGGCCAGTGGCAACCCGCATCATAATCTGTAGTACAAACCACAGTAGTTGAGCCAGAGCCAAAAGCTTCGAAAGAAGGTCCGCTTTGCTTTTGTCCTTGATTTCGACCGGTGTTTGTCGCTCCATTGCTTCGCGATATGCCATCACATCCGATTGACGGAAGAGAGGGTGGCCCTCTGACGTCGCAAAACCACCCATTACTAAGAGCCACGCATGAGATTTCTTCAGTTTGAAATCTGCTGAGGAGTTTAGCGATGGAGGCATGAGGAGACTGCTTCGCACCTTTCATTAGCTGTTTTACACTCGCGTATTGTCGATAAGCAAGACCAAAAATCAACTCTGGCGCCACGAGAGCGACAAGGAACATGACGAATTTGGGTTTGAAATTCGCGAAATTTTGCTTGCTCCACTGCCGGTGTTCTTTCCAGAAAGATTTCTCCCGTTGGTCTCTTCGAGTGGGAGGGACATTCGGATGAACGGAGGAGTAAGTGGAGAGGATGACGGTGGAGATGCAGCTCAGAAGAATTTGTATGACCGTACGACAACCGTCGATGTCATGACACCGGTCCCCTATGTCAGAAGAAATGGCGACCGGCGCCTGAACAAGTAAAGAGCTGGAAAATGGGAGGGCGGGCATGTTATCGGAGGGTCATGGACGAAGGACGTTTTGGCGGTCGGACCGGCATATGTACATCTTTCCACTCGCCACATGTTCACGGGTGGGACATGGCACGGAGCTATGGGGCTGTTTAGCTACTCTGCCGTTCATTTCTGTGCCTCACCGTGAACAGACATTCAGCCTCTGAGCAGATGAACCCACGCCTGAGAAAGAGCTCCACACAGTGTTTTGTTCATACAGAACACGGGAAGTGCAAGCAGGAGATATGGTTTGGATCGTTGGCTGCTTCCACATTGGAGAGGCATGTTCTGATAGAGTTTTTGGCTCGATGAGGTCGAGGTCAAGCTGCAATCAAAGCATCATGTGATATCGGGATGATCATGAACGGAGTAGATTCCTTCCTGAAGTCTTCCTCTCGTTGGACTTTGTTTTTCAGGTGCTTGAGATGCGCTGAACGTCCTTTAACTATTACTCGCAGAATGGACAAGCATCGAAGATATCCGTGACTATCGAGTCTAAGTCACGCACTTCGTTTTCTTTCCTTTCGACTCCGAGTTCGACCCGCCATGGCCGCAGCTGTCATTCGTTTCAACATATCTGCTCTCGAACACAAGATAACGTCATTAGAGGAACAGCTTGCTGCTACCCGTAGTGAGCTACGTCGCGAGAAAGAACTGCTGTCAGACATCGTCTACCCCATCAACACATTACCCCCAGAAATCCTCTCGAGAATCCTGGTGCGAGCTCATGCAGACTTTTCGGAATACCAACATTTCGCAATTCTCGATTCGTTCTCCATGGGCCGGGGTTTGTCCTACCGCCTGCTACTGGCCAGCGTTTGCAAGCAGTGGCGCAATGTCGTTTGGAGCACTTGCGAAATGTGGACACGCGTTACAGTGCATTGCGGCCGCGTCAAATCGGCGAGCGAGGCTTTACAGACTTGGCTGCCCCGTTCCGGCGGCCTTCCAGTAGATTTCAGCATCATACTTGTGGATGAGACGGCAGATGCGGTTTGGGACGTTTTAGTCAAACATTCAGCGCAATGGCGACACGTAGACCTTTGCACCGCCGACTCCGTTACTCTTTCCCTCGCCAATGCCGCGTCTACGTTGCCCTTCTTTGAAACACTTTGGCTCACAGGCGATGTCGCAATGGAAGACGGAGAACATATCTCAGCCCCCAATTGGCACGCACTCAAGATCAACGTTCCTTTCGTGCTCTACCAACTCGCACTTCCTTTAGCCCAGATTACGTCCCTCGAACTAAATGGCCAATCCTCTTGTGGTATCCTCGAAATGTTGGCGCTGATGCCCGAATTAACCTCGCTGGTGCTGTGTGTTGTCGAGACAGAGCGGGAGCAGGAACCAACGGTCTCCAGCTGTTTCCTGTCACAACTCAAGTCTCTTCACTACAACACTGCACTACCCGTAGCCATTCTCGCAGGCCTGCACCCCCCGTTACTCTCCCACCTTTCCTTTGTCGATCTCCCGAGCTTCACTCCAATCGGTGAACTTATAGCCCGTTGTGGGTGTTCTATCCGCTCTCTATCTGTGCAAAACTCGTCAAGAAACCCTCTACAAGCAATGACATGGTTCAAGGGACTACCGACGCTGCAAACGCTCGACTTTCAGGTGGACAACTGGCGACGCAAAGACTTCAGAACATTTCACGAGATCGTCACTATGGGATGGCCAGGCTCAGACTCAGAGAAGACCAAGCTGTGCGACCTTGAAGCGATCACGCTGCGTGGCTGTCCAAGAGATCTAGCTGAATCGTGGATGCTGACTGACCTGGTTGAACGTCGGTGGAGTTGGGTTGATGGCATGTCCCGAGTGCACACTCTTTCGTTGTGTTTTGCTCAGCAGCCACGGGATACAATGCCGATTGTGAAAAACGATCTAGACAAGTTCGTCGATTTGGGGCTCAAGCTAGAGTTAGATGATGGGCCGTTTGCGAGGGAGAGACTGGGAAGAGCACCGTTCCCTCAATTTGAGGAAAATGAGGAGGAGATGGACGTGGATTCGGACTCATAATAGCTGGTTGCCACGGAAGCGACTATTGCATGAATCAAAGATACTTGACATTTGAATGAAAGTCAGCAAGTAAGCGGCCAGTGACGGCCCGGATGAGGCTGTTCAAGGCAGTGTTTTTTGCACGCACTGCCTCGTACCGCGTAGACTTCGCTGAGCAAGACGCGACGGTCAGCGACCTTGGCTGGCGCGCATATAGAAAGCGCGACGAAATGGTGAGTAAAATCAACAATATCGAGATCGACACTCATGGAGTCCACAGCTGCCATACAAACCAAGCCCAAACGATATAGGGCACCAAAGCCTCGTACTCCTGCTTTGCGGAGAGGAAAAGCGTGTCTGAACTGCCGGTATGTGACTTGTCTTTCTTTGTGTTGCTTTCGAATGACGCGTCCATAGGCATCTAAAGATTGTGTGTGCTTGTTGCTTTGCTTTTGGCTTGCTCTAATCACGATTTTCCTTGATAGCGCTGCGACGGTGTAGTAAGTCCCCTCATTTTTTTTTCGTACTCTCTCACTAACAAGCTCTCTTCAGCAACCTATTTGTGGAAACTGTGTTCGCCTGCCCAAGGACGATCAATGCACCTACAACTTCACCGCCTCTCGCCGGAAACGCAATCAAGAACATAAACAAGCTGACTCTGCTTGTTGTTCCACTGGCTTCGACTTTCCTCTGCCAGATGAATTCTCGGACTTTGCATCAACCTCAAACCTTTCGAGTCTCGACACCGGCTCTATCTCCAGGAGCGCTTTCGTCAGGTTCGTGGCTTGTTTTACCGGACACAACAGGCTAACTTTCCATCAAGACTCGTTATCGGAGGTAAAATATGGCGATTTTGAGCTACCGACGGAGACCGTGAACCAGTTGTACGACACCTGTTGTTTTCTGATGACATTTGCTTATTCTCCACAGGGTCAGCAGCCTCATTGACAATGCGCAACCCTTTGGGTTCTTCCTCGATATGAACTGTTTGCGGACAGTCGCTACTCCCTCCATCGAGCTTCTCCTGCTCCAAGCACCTTCAGCGAACTCGTTACTTTTTGCAGCAGCGCTGCTGGGTGCTCGTCTAGCCAACCACACACACTATGAAAAGATACTCGTTCGACGGGCTAGCGAGTCCATTCTGGCCGAAGTTTGCTCATGGGAATCATCACAATGCAACACTTCAATGGCTGCAGAGACAATCCAAGCGCAACTCTTGCTTGCGCGTTACTTCCTTCTCAGTGGACAAACACTTGCGGCCAGGGTTCAGGTCAGCGGAGCGGAAGCCATCGCGCTTAGCCTCGAAATGCACGAGGACCAACTCCGGTCGGCAGCGTGGTGGGCCATTGTCGAGCTCCAAACGATCCTGCAGGGGCTTTCTGCGACAATATGTTCTTTTCTTGACCCAGAACTCTGTTCTGACCGTCTTGAGAAGATCCCAGCCCCGCCTACCACCAAGGAGCACAACTGGGAGTGGGCTGACTCGGACTCGGGGTCTGTGTTTGGCAACCAATGGCCAGTATCACACCTTGAAGGAAGCACGCCTCTGGATTTGTCTCCGTTTCCATGGTTGGCTGCTTGAGGTCTAATTTGATTCCAGTCCTATACCGTAGCATTTGCTTTTTGAGTCCTCAAGCTATTAAGGGTGCTCAATTCTTGCGGGTTGGGGGGATACAAAAAACCCAAAAACTGTTTTTGCATAGCCGAATAACTAGCCGAGCATTTTTGAGTGGTCGGCTAAGCAGACAGCATCATTCGGCTACGCAAAAACAATTATTTGGGTTTTTGTGTTCCCTCAGCCCACAAGAATTGAGCACCCTTATTAGCATGTAAAGATAGTCTGTAAGTATGACAGGAACTTCGCCGTCGTTGTCAGGGTCAATGTCATCATCACCGTCATGCCGTGATGGATTGCCGCATTAAGGTCGTGACGGAGTCACAATCTGTCCGGCGGCCTTATCCGCCAAGCGCCTATTTCCAAAAACTCCTTCTCATCCCCCATGACCGCGCCATGGACTTGGACGATCCAAGAGCCAAAACGTTTGGCTCTTGCACTCCCCAGCACCGCCGCAGCTGACCTCCCTGACCAGTCTGAATGCGCTGAAGGCTTTCATCGACCAGCAAAGGGCCCTTTTGACGCGCACCAAGGCGGACATCCAGACCCTTCGCAAGCTCAAGGCCGAGTCTATCGTGGATACCAGTACCCTCTCAGAACAAGTGCGTTGGCAATGCCCCCTTTCATGTTGTCTTTACTGATAGTAACGGGTAGCTCAATGACGATGCCTTTCGACTGGGCGAGGCCGAGGTTCAGTCTGGAGCTGTTCCAGAAGAACTTGACTGGTCTCTTCTCGCGAGGAAAGGTGCGCAATGGTGTTTCTCTTTCTGACTCAGGCTGATTCAGTAACCCAGACCCCAAGCCGCTCACGCTACTCGGTCGCAACGCGCTTGCTGTCTATACCGCGCGCAACAAGCCAAAGCCACCCGTGAACCCGGGGCTGTCAGAGCTGCAGAAGCTTGTCAGAAACGCGCGGAAAACGATTATCGACCCCGTCATTGCTTTGTATGGCGAGCCAGACGACGCGCCTGACGCTAATGCCCGACCAACGCCTCTTCGCGGTCCCTCTGGCCTTTTCATCCGTCGCACCCACCAGAATCGTACCCCACGTCGCAAGCCACAAGCGCTACCAGCGCAACCACCCCCACCACAACAGCCACCAGACGACGCCCGAAGTAGCGCTGGAAGTAGCACTATCGTGGATGTCGATGAGTGCCCCTCTCCTATCCCGATGGCCCTTGCCAAACCCAAACGAACCCGGCGTATCTCCACCAAGTTGGAAAGACAGAATCTTGATCGTAGTGACGAGCCAGGAATACACACCCGTCGCCGTTCATCAACTCTCGCGAGCGCAACAACGCTCAGAATAACCGTCTCTCACCAGAAACACGGCGCTATTGTTCTACGTATCCCACCGCGTTCCGCGTTGCCTTCAGGGCCATTAAACACAGACGACACTGGCCGGGACTGGACAGAATCCGAGGGCAGCGAGTCAGGCCATGACTCCCCAGTCCCCTCTCGTTCACCGTCACCCATAAACCCTCACCCTGCACCTCCATCTGTCCTGGGCAAGCGTCGTCGCCCACCAGCAAAGGCAAAGCCTAAATCGGAGACGTTCAAGCTCAAATGGACAACCTCAGAGCAGAATTTACTCGAACGATTGCTGGAGGAGATCCCGGATGACGATGCACAGCGTTACGCTAAGATATCGAGAGCGATGGGTGGGAGAAGGACGCCGAAGCAGGTGAACAGCCGCGTGCAGAAGTATCTGTTGAAGTTGAAGCAGTACGGCGTTATTTGAGGAACTTTATTTTCGCATTCTCTGTTTAATCAGTAGTTGTAGTAAAACTTTATCCCGTGTCTTTCACTGAATGTTGAAAGGGAGGCTTAATTCTGGCAAGCCCGGATTGTTAACTACTCAGAACCTGTCTTCATTTGGATTTGAACCAGGCCAGAGTTACTCATCCAACCACACTTATCACCGCGAGCTCCAAATCCATAGATACCAAATATCAATAGAGTATGCTACAAGGTCTGACAACTGCGTCAGCATCAGTATACGCACGAATCGAGAACGACATACACACCGCATTCGTCGTGACCCAATTCCCGTTACTTTTTTCCATCGTATACCACCCTACTTGCGCTTCTTCTTCTCGGCAGCTGCGGCCTCTTTCTCCTTCTGTGCCTTTTCTTTGGCGGCTTCGGCCTTAGCGAGATCGTGGGCAGTGTCGTTCAAACCAAGCCTGTTGCGGGCAATCTGATAAAAGGTCAGGGATGGGGAGAAAAACTAGAAGACAACTGAGACGAACCTCGAAAGCGTAGAACTGGAGATGAGCAGTGATCAGCACTAGACATTCAAATACCAAAGGCAACCTGCCTGTATCCGAGTAACTGCCGGGACACGTCAGCAACAGCGAGAGGGCAAAAGCGAGTAGCCCACCAAAGATTGTGTTCTTCTCGACGTATTCTTCCTTTGCATTCATTCGGATGAGCGACCCGAAGTTGTAGTCCTTGACTTTTTTCTTGTACCTTTTGCGACCATTATTGCTCACCCGAAATGTGATGAGGGTAAAGCTAACCGCTCAATGAATTCTCGCCAGCGCTCTTTGCCTGAGGGACTCTTCATCCACTCTTCATCAAGCTGTATCAAGCCCGCGTAGTCGTTCTCGGCAAGCTCGGGAAAGGTCTTGAGTGTGTCCTCGTAAATCTCATCGTCAATCCTTAATATTCCTATGTCAGAAGAGCCGGCGCGAAAGAGGAACCGGAAGACACACTTGGTGAGTTTGAGTTCGGTTGGGGGAACTTTCTCAATGAGATTCCAATACGTCTGTGGGGAAATATATTGAGCGAGGGAATGCGGGGAAGAGGCTGCCAACGGACCTGGGCCTGCTCAACGGCTTTGACGGCGAACCTAACCACGCGTTATTAGATTCTGTGCTATACGGCGGCGGTAAAACGCAACTGTTTCTCAATCTATGGACCGTATGTTAGCCAGCAGCCAATCGTCGGAGAGCTAATAGTGCATACATCGATGTGGTTTTGGGCGGTGTTGGGGTCGAAAGGCTTGCTGGCTGCCATCTTGCTTGCTTTCTCGTCAAGGGAGGGTCTACGTGGCACGGAAGAAGAAGAAGGAGTGTGAGTGGGAGAGTGTGCTGGCGGTTTCGTGCAGGAAGTGTTTGATGGCGGTCACACCGTTGACCACTTGACCAGAACTTACTTGCCTTTCATACTTACAGCAGACGGTGCTCTTTCCTATTGAAACTCGCGAGCCCATTAACAACCCACTCGTCCTCCCTGATGCTCGATCTGCAGCATTCTCACGACTATTCATTGAGCGAGCGCTTAAGGATATGTACTTAACCACAGCAACCGACAGTGTGGTTATATCTTCGCCCCTTCTCGCATGTCGGAATCTGGGCTACCAGAGTTTATCGGGAACCGATGTCGCGATATCGACAATTGCCGCACAATCGCTGGAATCCTGATTAGCTGTCTTTCCACCGTTATCCTCTCGACCTATTCTTCCCTTCATCCAAACGTGCCCAGGACCCGGCGTGGTCGCTACAATAACGAGCTCTCATTTTCCGAATCTCCACGCAGATGGATCGTGCAACAAATCAGCGACGTTTACCCCAAACTCATCATGTTTCTCATTGGCTTGATCGCTCCAGAGGTGACATTCGGCCTGGCCTTTCGACAATACCTGAACATGAAACAGATCGTCCAAAGTACGCTATGTTCTAAGTTCTAGCCCCCCCGAGTCCTGCTCAAATCCACATAGCCTACAACATCCACAAAACACAGGCATGGTTTATCGTTATGGGTGGCTTTGCAACACCAACGGGCGGCCCTTTCAAAGTTGACTTCATACGCCGAAATCTCCGTCTACATCGATGTCATTCGCGCCTTTGACGTCGCAGACATCGAAGACAAAAGCAAGGCCGACCTTGTTACCAAGTTTATCGCGCTAACCCAGCTGGTCTGGTTTGTTGTCCAAATCTTGGCGCGACTCCTGTTGCGGCTGCCATTCAAGTTGTCCGAATTGGAGGTAGCCACCGTTGCCTTTGCTTTGATACCACTCTGCACATGGTGGCTGTGGAAAGACAAACCCCAGGACGTGAATGAAGCGATCAGATTATCAGTCGGGCGTGAACGGGTAGGTCTTCCAGCACACCAAACGAAGCAAACTAATCATGGCTGATAGGAATATATTCATTCGATGACGCCGGCGCCAGGGAAGGAGGATGAGGGTGACCAGACCAACTCAACAATCACCCATAGCGAACACAGTGAATTGCTCGAGAACGCTAGCAGCGGCGAGTTACTGCCCAACTCAAGATTCCAGCGGTCGCTCGCATCCATTCTCACTGCCATCTTCTTCGGCAACTTCCATTCCGACTACTGGCGTCCACGAATCGAAAAATATATGGCCGTGCCCATCTTTTGGACAGGCCCTTGGCTCCTAGATCTCGGACCTGCTGCCAATGGGCGGCGCAACATCTCGGAAAATAGCACCAACTCCACCCACGGAACATCACTCACCCTCCAATTCATCCTCAGTTTGTTGTTCGGCGCGGTCCACTGCGGGGCATGGGCTCTCTACTTCCCGTCTGTCGTAATAGCCCGCCTGTGGCAATGTGGCGCAGTAGCAGTTATTGGCTGCCCACCGCTGGCTTTGTTGGCCAACGCTCTATCTAGACGGTTGCGGCGACGGCACCCAGCCTCGTTTGTCTGGCGGCAGGTCGCCAACACGTTCACGACCATCAACCATCTCACTATCCTCAGCTACGTCGTGGCGCGGGTGGTCTTACTAGTGCTCGCATTCGCGACGTTGCGGGAAAGGGACCTTCCTTCTGGCATATTTGTAGACTTTTCTTGGAGCTCGCTGATTCCCCATCTCTAAAAAGTGTGTATATCACCATAAAGCAGAGTACAGATTGGTGTATAAGTGTGTAGAGTTTGATTAACCTGTGGTGACTGGGGAAAAGGTCGAAACAGACCGCCAAGGATCCGAATAAGGAAATCTCTTGACTTCGGAGCCGTCACAAGTTATTATTACTTAAGATTGGGAAATGATTTGGATCCGATAAATGCCCCAACGCATGCTCGGCCCACTCCCAATCGAGCTCCGAAATGGGAGGTATATTTTCCCCAGACTTGTAAAAGCCAGCGAAAAATGGTTCACGGTCTGCCATCATCGGTACTGGACCGACAAAAGAAGAGGTTGCCGCAGGTAGAGAGGGAGAAGGAACATCCAGCATCGTCTGAAGCTCGACAATGGCCCACCATGCGGCCGACCGGAGATGGTCTTCATTCAACTCGAGACCCAATGCGATCGCCTCCGCCCCGCTGACCTGAACTTTGGCGGCCAGTGTCTGTCCATCGAGAAGGAAATAACGCGCAAGGAGGAGTTGCGCTTGGATTGTCTCTGCAGCCATTGAAGTGTTGCATTGTGATGATTCCCATGAGCAAACTTCGGCCAGAATGGACTCGCTAGCCCGTCGAACGAGTATCTTTTCGTAGTGTGTGTGGTTGGCTAGACGAGCACCCAGCAGCGCTGCTGCAAAAAGTAACGAGTTCGCTGGAGGTGCTTGGAGCAGGAGAAGCTCAACGGAGGGAGTAGCGACCGTCCGTAAACAGTTCATATCGAGGAAGAACCCAAAGGGTTGCGCATTGTCAATGAAGCTTCTGACCCTGTGGAGAATAAGCAAATGTCATCACAAAACAACAGGTGTCGTACAACTGGTTCACGGTCTCCGTCGGTAGCTCAAAATCGCCATAGGCTACCTCCGATAACGAGTCTTGATGGAAAGTTAGCCTGTTGTGTCCGGTAAAACAAGCCACGAACCTGACGAAAGCGCTCCTGGAGATAGAGCCGGTGTCGAAAGGTTTGAGGTTGATGCAAAGTCCGAGAATTCATCTGGCAGAGGAAAGTCGAAGCCAGTGGAACAACAAGCAGAGTCAGCTTGTTTATGTTCTTGATTGCGTTTCCGGCGAGAGGCGGTGAAGTTGTAGGTGCATTGATCGTCCTTGGGCAGGCGAACACAGTTCCCACAAATAGGTTGCTGAAGAGAGCTTGTTAGTGAGAGAGTACGAAAAAAAATGAAGGGACTTACCACACCGTCGCAGCGCTATCAAGGAAAATCGTGATTAGAGCAAGCCAAAAGAGCAACAAGCACACACAATCTTTAGATGCCTTTTGACGCGTCATTCCAAGGCAACACAAAGAAAGACAAGTCACATACCGGCAGTTCAAACACGCTTTCCCTCTCCGCAGAGCAGGAGTACGAGGCTTTGGTGCCCTATATCGTTTGGGCTTGGTTTGTATGGCAGCTGTGGACTCCATGAGTGTCGATCTCGATATTGTTGATTTCACTCACCATTTCGTCGCGCTTTCTATATGCGCGCCAGCCAAGGTCGCTGACCGTCGCGTCTTGCTCAGCGAAGTCTACGCGATACGAGGCAGTGCGTGCGAAAAACACTGCCTTGGACAGCCTCATCCGGGCCGTCACTGGCCGCTTACTCTGCTGACACGAACATTGTTGAGCAGAGCTTCAAGTCTTAGTTTACGCACACACTCAACCCATGAAGTGTTTCAACCCAAATCTCGTGAGTGCAACTCCAGTTTGAATGACCCCCCCGAATACCGAATCCTTCCTTGGTTGATATCGATGTAGACTGAAAAGTTGCATTGCGACCTGCCAGTGCTCCTCAATTCGTGAAGGCTTCGATGCCACACTCTGTTGATGTAAATTTCGAAGACTGGCCATTTAATTGACCCCCAAATAACTTCGGCCCGTGTCGTCCTTCTCCGACATTCGGACCGAACGAATTGGACACGCACCTAGCACTGGGTCCTGAGGGTAGCGCAATAACCCCGCTCTTCTTCTCAGCTCACTCACCAAAGCTGAAAGTGGGTCAATCTTCAAGAGTGTTCCCTCCAACCTAAAATAACCACGGTTGGAAGAGACTGTTGCTCCAATGGCCTCGGACAAAAGATTGGAAGAAACTCCACGGTTGAATGGCAAGAGGAGCTCAGCTAGTCTGGACCGCGCCATTACTTATCTGGAACAACAACCCGACAGCCAAACTATACATGCATCCGTGGACCACACCCAACTCGTCCGCAGAATTGACAGACACATCGTGCCTATCGCTCTTGCGATCTACACACTCCAGGTCTTGGACAAGCTGCAAGTTTTTCACCGTCTACAGCAGGATCTTGACGGCTAATGCCTCTGCAGTGATATCAACGCAAGTACTTCTTGGCCGACTTTTCGTTGGTTCACGCTGACTGTTGTCCTCTTGGGCCTTAGTATGCAGCAGTTATGGGCTTCAATCCAGATCTTCGCCTGGTCGGAAATGACTTCAATAACGCTGCCAGCTCAATGTACATCGCGAACGTCATCGCTGAGCTCCCCACTGGTGCGTCGTTCATTGTTCTCTCTCTCTCCCAAGCCGCTAACATAAGTCTAGGTTATATCGTGCAGAAAGTACCACCAGGCAAGTGGTTAGGATTGAACATCATTCTTTGGGGCGTCGTGACGGCATCCACTGCCGCAGTCCACAACTTTCACGGACTGGTTGCGACGAGGGTGGTGATTGGTATTCTGGAGGCAGCTACGACGCCGTGTCTCATGCTCATCATCGGTATTTCACTGACTTTGGCCCCGTTTCTGCCTTACCGTTCGTCAGGCATGTGGTACACCAAGTCGGAAGCAATTTTCCGCTTTGCAATTTGGTACTGCGGATTGAGTGAGTGCTGGCCAATGCAGAGTCAAACTGGTTCTAACTTGTTAGGCATTGCCCAAATGCTCGGCAGCCTGATGTCTTGGGGTACGTATTTTCTGAAGTTTTTCGCGCATTCTGATGAGAATCGCAGGTTTTCAGCATGTCCATCACGACTCCCTTTCGAGCTGGCGCATCATGTTCATCGTTCTCGGTTGTGTTACTGCAGCAGCAGGTGTCTGGGCTATCATTTCGATGCCAGACTCGCCGATGGATGCTTCTTGGCTGACAGAAGCAGAGAAAAGAGCAGCCATTCAGCGAGTTGCCGTCAACCAGACGGGAATCAAAAACACCCACTTCAAATGGCAGCACTTACGCGAACTTGTTCTCGACCCGCAGATATGGCTGCTGACCTGCCTCGTCATTCTCACCTCTCTGTCTTCCGGCGTCGTTTCTTTCTATTCCACAACCCTTATCCGCAACTTTGGCTTCTCCTCGCAACGAAGCGCGTTATTAAACATACCCAGCGGCGCGGTGTCCTTGATATCGGCCCTTGCGACAGCGTATATTGCTCATAGATACAACGCCCGAGCACTCTCTATGGCCCTATTTACTTGTTTCGCTGCGATAGGCTCCGGTTTGATGTCATTCCTTCCTTCGTATAACCGGGCCGGACTCCTCGCAGGCATCTACTTAGTCAACGCTGTAAGTGCTTCGCCGTTACAAAGCGACCAGCGTCTCACACAATGATGAAGATAACCCCCAACTTGTTCCTGATCTTCTCCCTTACAACCTCCAACGTTGCCGGGCAGACAAAGCGGTACATTTTTTCCTCTCCCTCTCGTTCATCTTATGTCTAATTGCCTTAGTGTTGCCGCTAACGCACTTGTTTCTGGGGCATTTTCAGTCGGGAACATCGTTGGGCCCCAGCTGTTCAAGCCTAAAGACGCTCCACAGTATATACCCGCTAAAATCGTGCTGCTCGTGACCCAAATTGCTTCGGCCGTCTTAGCGTTAAGCTTGAGGCTGTATTATGGTTGGAAGAACAAGGAGAGGGAACATGAGGGGGACAAGGAAATCGAAAATATCGAGTGGTTAAATTGTGCGTCCCATGTTTTCTCGAGTTGTGGTTATCACTCAACTACTTGCGTAGTGACGGATCAGGAAAACAAAACGTTTAGGTACAAGTACTGACTCGAGTAAGTTTTGAGATTCGTCATTCAGCGTGTCAATGCATACCTCAGAAGAAATTGTCTTGATAATACTTCTTGGTGCTTTCAATGACATCGAAGCCGATAAGAAACAATTGCTGCTCTCTCGCTGATGGAACCATAAGTCGGGTTTCGCTCAGGCTAGCCCTATTTGAACTCACATCGTTCATAAAATCCTCTTCTGGACGGCATCGTCGCTTGTTCCAACGACTCCCGGTTTACAAACTCTCCCCTTGGTTTGCGGAGCTCTTGGTATGCCTTCAGACGCTCTGGAATATCGGCTACTTTAGATCCCTGAGGAAGTAAGAGGGCAATAGTTGCAGCGTCTTCAAGGGCCATTCCAGCGCCTTGCCCAATAGTGGGAAGTGTTGCATGTGCAGCGTCGCCAAGAAGGAGAGCTTTGCCTCTGATCCATGTAGGCAGAACAGGAAGCGCTCTGAGTTGCCAACGGAGGATTGGCTGTTGCCCTTGCTCTAAGAATTTGAGGTAACGCGGATGGAAGCCAGAAAACTCGGTCAGAACCTGTAAAATTCTCAGTCTTTCCAATATCAATGGATTTGATACGAACGTCATCCATGGTGGCCTTTTCGCTCCATTCTGTTTGTAGTTACACCATGGTAGTCTTCGAACCGAATTACTTGCCATGCTGGTCCTGGTTACGGTCGTCTACATGGTGTGCGGCGACATTGACCACTTTTCCGTGGCGGCACGGAATCAGAAACAGTAAACGAAAGCGCTCGCCCGGAGCGAGAACAGCCTGCAGATACATTTTGACTGATGGCAGAATAAACAAATGTGCTTACCCTTCCACCTGAAAGTCCCTGCGTGTACCAATCCATGTCGTCCAAGCTCTTCAGCTTGTCTGCATCAAAGAGACACCGAAAGGTCGATAGTCCGGTCGCCAGGGCTTTCTGCTCGTAGCCCAGAACGGCGGTCCGTACGACGGACTGAGCATCTACAGGTTAATAAACTCCACGCGAAAGATGGGCCACCCAACATGAATTCCATCTGCTCCGACTATCAGATCGGCTTGCTGAATTTCACCGCTCCTGAGGACCACGCTGCCTTCATCTGCGTTACAAGAGACGACTTCACGGCCAAGATGAAGAATGACGGGTCTCCCGGCTCCGTCTGTCGAAAGTGCTAGACGTTTCAGCTCGTCGTGGAGGTCGGATCGGAGACAATGCCATCCTGCCTAGTATGAAGTGATCAGGGACTAGACCTAGAGAGAGAGAAGGAAGAAGGACGTACTCTACCCAGATTTTCATAGTTGAACTCCCTTGTAATGCCCTCTCCACCGGTTGCGTCAAACCGGACCGTCTGGATATTGGAACATCAGCGAATTTGAGACTAGAAAGAGAGTAAGCTTACCCCCAAGAAGTCGACCCCCTTGAGATTGGCCACCTCATAACCCAGGAAATCCAGCACTTTCATCGCATTTGCCTGCACTGTTATGGCTGCACCGATTTCCCTATTCATAAGAGAAGACTCGAAGACCTATGGTCGATTGACGACTGTGGCCAGTAGACATCGCAAAGTCGCACCTCTACATGGTGGCCCTGTCTTCGGAGAGCAACTGCCGCTGCAAGCCCGCCAATTCCTGCGCCAACCACGAAGATACGGAGCGAAGACGTTGGCTCAACCATATGATCGGGGGGTTTGCGAGTTTCGAAAGATTAGCGGCAGGCAGCTGGGTTTGCTATTGCCTGAGGTCAAGGACAGTGTAACTCAGCCTAATCTCCAATCCAATCCGTATTGGTCGTTTCTTTGAGGATACCGGGTTGCTAGTGGGGGAAAGCGGCTAGGGCGTGAGAGGTCCATCATCGCTGCTTGAAGGCTGCTTCGGACCGTGGACGCAAATAGCCTAAGCCCAAGAGAGAGGTATTATTGGTCGCCGCCGCTGCATGCGTGGAGAAATTGAAAGCTGTGCGCCACGTGACCCATCGTTGTGGCCCTAACCAAAATTTGTCCGAAATGTTCTCTCGAACTGTAGACGTATGCTGGTGTAATTGAATTGATCACTAGCGATGTATTCGGGGATATGCGCGAACGTTTTCCGTGCGCGAGCGCAAACTGTGACCGCGCGACCAAGAGACACATGACCATGGTAAGTACTATAGCTCGTACTACATAGTATCAGTACAGCCTGCTAGTAGAAAACACGAGAAATACACAAAAATGGCGATAGTACATGTAAAGCAACATGGTAGGTATAGGAAACAAAGTCAAGCACTAGTGGAATGGAGTTGAGTGCTTGAACGTGTGAGGTAGTCCGGCATGGCCAAGTCCACACTCGTGACTGTCCTCGTTCCTTCTTGCCAGTCGGAGTTGATGTCGTTGATGAGCATCTTCTCGTCGCGCTCAGCTGCCTGTTCGGTGGTTTGGGCCCATTTCTCCACATCCCTCGCCCAAGTCGGACTGGAGTTGTCCTCAGCCTCAGAACCGGAATCCTCTTCTGCCTCTATTGTATCGACGGGTTCGTTGAAGTCCTGTCCAAGTTCGCTCGCCGTGACCCGTCGTTGCGGTTCGGGCCCAAAGGTAATCTTACCACCGAGAATTGGCAGTGGTTTACTAGTAGGGCGTATCAGAGCAAAGGCAGGAGCGGGAGTTGCTTCAACCACCCGCTCGTCGTCGGAATGGTTGGATCGGAATGAGGGATGGACATGGTTCATGTGCGTAAACCTCCAGTACAAGCTACGCATGAACTGCAAGGTCCCTGCCCCAAGAGGAAAACGATCGTGCTCTGTTGCTTCGCGAATTCTATCCGCCAACGCGCTGCCAATGGGGTCGTGTAGCATTGGCGCGCCATGATAAGCCCGCATAAGCTTGGCAGTGGACCGAATAAGGACGATGTGAGGAGGAGTCTTCAGTTCGACACGGCGGGGTAAGATAGAACTGGATGGGTCGAAAGGGATCACAAAATAGCGAAACTTTTGCGCGCCGGCGTAGAGCTGTCGGCGCGTTAATGCTGGCAGAAGGGACAAAAACTCGAATGCACGGTGGTTATGTTTGGAAAATCGAGCGTACGCAAAGGTCTCTTCCCAAAATAGATGCGACGTATGTCAGTGGTATGAGGGGACACATAAACCCGTTCGTCTGTTAAAAGCTCCATATCTTCCGCGGCCGCTGAGAAGATATTGAGATGGAGGGGTGATAAAGGAGTGTAGTAGATATAGGCGCACCAAAAAGCTGCAGATGTTCGTTCAACTTCTTGTGTTCGAGACCCCACGACCACTCCAAGCCATTTTTGCTGAGCAGACTTTCGCATCAGAAAAAGTATGCTCAAGACAAGATAACAGACCGCTTCCTTGAGTGCAGGGGAACCACGCTCTGTATGGGTTTCTAGACAATCAGCGAGCAGGGACCAGCTCAGATGTGGTCATCGTCGAAAGCTGTCGAAAGTAAATGTGAGCGTCACATCTGTCACACGAAAACAGTGGATCTGCATACTTTGTTGAGCTCTTTGCTCTCCCTTATGTCGTGCACTGCATCATATCCACACAGGGTCGAAGTCGTACTTAAAGCTCAAGCCCCGCCGTCGTGACCAGTGAGTTTGGGAGAGTGTCATGTGATCGTGCCTTGGTATTCCGTACAAAATTGATCAACAACTGTCGAACAACTTGTTTCTTGCTTTTTACTCTCGACGTCTCAAGCTCCGCAGCTCCGCGACCACCTGAAGCTTATCTCTTGCGTCCCACGGCGCGAGACAATGGTCCCCCCTAGTCCGTTTTTCTCCCTGCGGCCCTCTAGACTCCGAAAATTCCAGTAAAAAGAAACAGTTTTGGTGGGTTAGCCCATGGCCAAAGCCCATAGGAAATCATTTGACTCGGATTGATATGACTGTGGGCTGCTTCGTAACAGGGTATAATCCACTCAACGAGGGTTAGTTCGAGTTTGAAACAAGAGAACATGGCTTACTTGTTACCCAGTCACCCGCGGTCCGCCGCGGCATGCAACTCCGATACTTCTACACTTGTTTCCGCTTCGTTTGACGACAGCTGAATTGAACTCTGAGAGATTTTGGAGACTGCCGATGAGCCTGCGGTCGCTTGCCGCGATGTTGCTCTGGAGGGAGCCTTGGCGGCAATTGCGAAAACCGGCGCCCAGCCAGCTTCAAGAGCGAGAAGGCCGTCGGACCAATAACTCGACCTCACTGTTCCATACGAAGACTGAGTGTTCGTTGAATAGCGAGCCGTCGCAAGCCCTGATTCCTCTGTCACGACCGCCTCCCTTGCCCATGTGTCAGAAATCTGAGGGCTGCCACGTACAGCGAAAGTCCTGACTGCAAGGTCGTACAAGAGGACAGTCCCGGTTGTGGAGACGCCCAAGAGGCCAATGCTGAAGAGAATTGGTGTGAGTGCATTGGTACTCTCTGCATGGTCGCCGGGCCATGAGTCGTGTGCGTCGACGCAAACCGTCAAGGCGAAGGAAAGCAACAGCAGAATTGCCGAGGCACCGAAAACAAGAACGAGCAGCGGTCTCTCTCCAGGTCCGTCGGGAGCGTTGAAGAGAGACTGGCGGCGTTGCATAACGGAGCGAATTATGGGGTCGTGTGCTACTATTCCAGTGAGATCCGACCCTTTATGTCCCCGGCATCAAATGACTTTATTACTTGGAAGTCATGCGTAAGCACTTCCAAATTTGGCAGGTGTTATACCCGATCGGGACAGCCTGTTTCTTCCCGCTTCCCACCATGCAACTTTCGTTAACTCCACCAATCGAGACACGTCCAAGCCTGTGCGTCGGCTTTGCCAAGCGAAATGTGCACTTATCTGTTATGATAGCCTACCGAAACTCGCTGCGAAGCCGTGGGTGCGGGCTCCGGCGGAAGAACTCATCCTCGTAAATACGCGCATCGTGCGGCCAGAAAGCAGCTCTGTCTTGGGCGGACTGCAAGATATTCACATCAAGAAGGGTTTTGTGGCGGCTATCAAGCCATCGAAAGCCGAGCCAAGCCCTACCAGGGAAGGTGATCAAGTCAAGATCGTCGACCTTCAAGGCGCCTACGTTTGTCCGTGGGTGGAAATTTCGAACGTTAATCGCGGGCTTATATCGGGGAAGCGGCTTGATTGACTGTCATGTCCACGTTACGGCTGTACCAGGCTCCCAAGTGTGTGTCCTACCGTTTATCTAATCTACGGCTGAGCCAGGGCAGAATATGATGGACATCTTTTCAGCCTCAGAACAGGATGTCAATCTCCGCACCACCTATGTTCTCAAGGGTTCGTTCTTCCGTTGTCTAGTCCAAATACTATATCTTACCAAACAGAAATGCTGCTTCGAGGATTCACTACTGTGCGTGACACCGGCGGCGCCTCAAAGAGGATCGCACTTGCTATCGAGGAAGGGCTAATCCCGGGTCCACGACTGATTCAATGCGGCAAAGGACTGTCCCAAACAGGCGGCCATGGAGACTTTACTCCAAGCGAGAGCCACACTGGGTGTTGTGGAGGACATGGCGCTGCAAAGGGCCTCGGACGTGTAGTCGACGGTGTTCCTGATATTCTGAAGGCGACGAGAGAAGAACTCAAGGCCGGGGCCGATTGTAAGGTGCCCTTCAACGATGTTCTATACTCACCAAACTGCAAGTTATCAAGATCATGGTTGGTGGCGGCGTTGCATCGGAAACTGACACCATCGAGAGTGTCCAGTTTACAGCAGAGGAGATTCAAGCCGTTACTACTACATGCAAACAGATGGGGGGCAAGATGGGTGAGTTTGTGCAGTCTCATAGTAGTCGACAAACCATTGCTGAATCACTGCAGTGACCGCCCATGCTTATACGGTAGACTCTGTCCGTCATGCTATTGACAACGGCGCTACTGGCATCGAACATGGTAATCTCATTGACCGGCCAACTGCAAATCTGTGTGTTTCCGCTCCCTTTGATCCAATAATGCTCATATCAGTACAATCTTAGGATGGCGTCGAAGGGAGTTTATGTAGGCCAAAACTCTGTAATTCCTTTGTTTTTTATTGACGTCCTCAACTTAGCTAACGCCTACTTTATCCTGTTATGGTATATGTTGCAAGCTACACTCGTTTCTCGCCGCTAATATTGGCACTTAGGGATCATGATTCGACCGCCGTTCGAAGACTTCCTCCCGCCTAGCGGAAAGATCAAGAATGAGCAAGTCCAATCGCAAGGGCTTGATGCGATGAAGATCGCCCACGAAGCAGGAGTGACAATCTGCTAGCAAGTCCGATGCTTTCGTGCAAAGAGACGAGTAACAACCAAAATGACAGCGGATCAGACCTACTCAGTTCCATGCACGCATTGCAAACGGAGGAGTTTTCCGTCCGCGCTGGTGTCCTCCCCTCCGATGTGGTTTTAAAGCATGCAACAACAAACCCAGGTGCGTATAAGTATTGCCCAGCCGCCATGCCACGAATGTTGCACAAGTCTTACACATGGCTTCTAGCTAAAATGCTTGGAAAATCATCTCTCATTGGGACGATCGCTCCGGGGGCATATGCCGATCTACTGGTCCTTGACGCTAATCCGCTCGAAGACGTGACTATATTAGACTGGCCAGAAAATCACTTACTCGCTGTTATGAAGGGCGGGAGGGTCTATCGCAGCTCGATTGCAGATTTGTCAGTGGATGGACTGTAAAACAGTTGTTGCACCCATAATTTAAGGTTCACTCGCGTCATTGATATTTGACATTTCCACACTATTTCCACGCCGGGCCCCAGCAGCTGGTGGTTCTTTCACATCATGATATCAAGTTATCAAGCGCATAGAGAGCTAACACCTCACATGCCATCTATCGTCCGCTCTCTCTCTTCCCCGCCATGGTTTTCGGGCCTTTACCCCCAGAATTGCTGCTGGAAGTCATCTCCCACCTCCCGCAAACCTATTCGTCATACGAGTCTCATGCATTTGGCACTCCCCGACTAGTTTTTACGCGTGAGGATGCTCTCCGCGTACTCTGCAGCACATCCCACCGACTGCGACTGTGTTGCTTTCCCTCTCTTTGGGAACGGTTTTACGCCGAACCACTGGCCTGTACAGGGGCCATGATGTTGACATCTCACGCGGTTAATACCCCTCTTCGTCGTCTGCGGCGGTTACTTCTTGCCCCCCACCTCTGGCCCCACATCCGGTGCGTAAACCGACGCGTCTTTTTGCGCTTTTTTGCTAAAACTTCATCGCTAGCTTTCTTTCCGTTGCGTTCCTTCGGAACGATGTCACGGACGACGGGACAATCTCCGCGTTGATCCAGCTTCTGCAAAGATTGCCGATGCTTCTCTCACTCACCTTCTCCACGGTCTACCCACCCCAAGCCCCGCTAGTTCTCAGCGCCGTCGAGAACAATACATTCTACGATATTCGCGAGCTGGCGATTGGCAACCATGAGCTCGGCACACCCGGCTTCTTCCGCGCCTTTCCGAATGTCGATAAGCTTCGTATCCCTTGGGGACGAATGCGGGCGGTGATCTGTCTTGAGAGTGCAGGAATGGGCATGCATAACTTGACGTGGTTGTCGTTCATCACGCTGGGTGAGCCTGTGGCTGCTGGTAAGCTCTATTCAGTCTTTCTGGCTCGATGGTTTCCTCACAAAAGATGCATCAGCCATCGTCCAGCATTGCCCCCGAGTGCAGAGAATTGACTTCGCCCTCTGCCCCGACCGAGTCTGTCCTTGTTCGCTGTTTGAATCACTTTTAACACCATGGCTTAGGACCAACTCGTTGTCTTGCGACGATTACCTGAGCTGAACTATCTGTCCTTCAGATTCGCCTCATTCGAGGCAGCCAAAGCCCCTCCCTTCATTTCTCTTTCGCAAGCAGTCCTCCGCGCAACGCAGGCAATAGGACGGAAAGTCGTTCGGATTGACTGGGTGACAAGCTACCAAGTGAACATTATCCAATCTTCTGACTTCCACATTGTGTAACTCGCTGGTGTGCATCTTGTTCCGCCGGTTCTTGCTCATGCTTCATCTTTAGAAAAGACAAACAACGCTCTATTCGGTCAAACACAAAAAACGTAGCCCTACTCTGGGACAACATACGGCTCCCCGACAAGGCTCCCGCGCTCACGCTTGCATACTGATTTAATCCGCTCCCACTCGGCCTGGTCGGCTTTATTTACGGCCATCGCGACATCGAGCGCACGGACGTGGACCGGCTTGCAGTCGAGCTTCTCGCGAATCTTGGCCTGGACCTCAGCTGGGGCCGAGGCAACTTTCTCCGGAAGGGGGGCCAATGAGTTGTTGGAAAAGAGGGACCCCACAAGTGCTGCAGAACTGCTCGCCTCCAAAGCCTTTGCCCACCGGGCTGACGTAGGTGGTTATGGCATCAGGAGAGGTGGTGTGGATGGAGACGCGGTTGAGCGGACGAGGATAGGTGAACATGCCCGCAGACTGAGAGGGATGAGTAAAGGATGAAAGAGCGAGGAAACACATACTCTAATACAGGTACTACAGTCGCATTCTTGAACGTGGTTGTTTTCGACACCTTCTGGCCCTGCTTTGTCGAGGGACCACGGGCTCTTGAGGGCAAACGTGACGGCGCCGCAATGGCAGCTGCCGTGGTAAATCTTTTCTCCATCCTCGAGCGGCTGGGCGAGTAGCTCTTTGAGTTTGGGATAGGTCGGAACGTTATATGGACGCCATGGTGCTCCTCCGGAAAACTTCTCAACATCCAGACTCCACAAATCGACGCCCATCAGCATCCGTGCATTGAGTGCAAACCCTTCGCTCGCCCCCATGTGTGGTCTCACAACACCAAACGGCGTGCCACAACGACCACAGAAGCGATGGCAGACCATGCGGCTGTTGAACCGATAATCAACTAGTATTCCACCTCCGAGACCGTCCGTCCCAGCGCCCTTGGTGAAAGTCACGTTTGCTTTGCGCACAAACACGAAGAGGTAGCCCTTTTTGGTGCAGATCGAGCAATCGCAGGCATTGAGACCCATTTCCTCGATCGGAATGGGGAGGACAACATTGAACTTGATCGCGCCGCAATGGCAGTTGCCAGAGTATGTCTTGGGCGCCATGAGATGGTGGTGGTTGAGATGAGGAAAGAACAACAGACGCTCTTCGCGGCGCTGACTCACACGCCCGAGGTGTCAGGACTTCTTTGGAATCGGATTGGTATCATCATGGCGGAGCTCTGGCCAACGCCCGTTTCAACCCAACACATCGTGTTGTTGGGAAAAATCATGAGTGTGGTTTGAGAAGACCGGGGATTTGCGTCTTTCTTTAGGGCGATTCGCCATAGTCAGGTTTTCTTGCGAGCTCGATGTGTAACAGATCTACCCGATATGGAAGGCACGTCATGTCACTGATCAGATCATGAAGTGCAGCCCCTAACTATGTAGTAGCCTACAATCGAGTGACAGACCACACCAAAACACCTTCTTCCTCGCTGGCTTCCCCCAGACTTGATATGACTCCCGCAGTATCGCCCGTATCCAGATGCGTGTTTACCTGGACAGTCCCAGCTGGAAAAGCGCCTTCCCATAACCGCCGCCAGGACTCCTCCGTATAGCAGAAGGAGGTAATTCCTCCAGCCAATCGCGCTGCCTCCGACCTGTCTTGAAAAAATACGTGGTGGCCCTCCTGGTTTGCACCAAGCTGGCACCCTAGAATCATCGAGCCTGGAGCAGGGGACAAGAGCGACGCGAGTTTGTGAACGAGTATGATTTGCCGCTCCTTGCTCAGAACGTGGAAAACGTAGGATATGTGGATGACCGAGACGTTGCCGCGTAAGGGGCTGAGCGATGTTATGCTTCGCGCCGGAAGATCTGGCCGCGGCTGTGAGAGTACTTGAAATTGGGATGATAGAAAAGCCTCGTCGAATAAGTCCCCGGGAATAAATGTGATTGGGAACGTCGCCTGAGTCGATTTAAACAGCTTATGCCCGATCTCCCAGAGTTCTGACAATGATAAGGAGAATCAGCGAGTGCAGTCAAAAGCGTAGCGTTCTACCTGTAAACAATTCCGTGGCGACGATGTTGTCTGCTGGAACCCCATCCGCGTGGACCTTCCTCACATCCACGCCAACTAAAAGCTTCGGTAAACGTAGATGTTGCAAGCGAACTTACAGCAAGCTCCAACCTCCAGATATATCGCGTCAGAACTTCCCTTAAGCAGGTTTAGGGCCTGTGTATAAGCTGGAATACGCAAGATTCTGGCTCTAAAAACACCTCAGTTATGTACATGTGTCAGTATAGTTGGGTCCAACGCACTTCAAGAAGTCGAAGCCACGGATGCAGGGGTACGGATAGATCTAGGTGGGCCTCAGCCTGAGCTCTGCAAAACGAACCAACACATCAAGTCATTCACCTTGTACGCCTCTGCTTGGATTTCGGAGACATGTTGCTTCAACTCCTGGATGTTCTCGATTCCCGTCTGCGACCGTAGGAAATCGAGCTCGCCGTCATCCTATTTGCGTGTCTTTTTAGGGAGTGGACAGAATAGCAAGACAACATACAGGGAAAGGGCTGTCGAGAGGCGGAATATATGCCCACGATTGGATGTGGGACATCGATTTCGCGTGCTGGTATGTCGCATGTCGCTCGCCCTTTTAAGTACTTGTCATAACCGGCCGAAGAAGTCCATAAACTGAATGGAGAATTGGCTTGAGAACATTAACTGTGAGATCATGAGACAGGCAGATAGAGGGGGCCCGACTTGACGATATCACGCTGTTATCGCCATCCCGGTCGCAGCAAGTCAGATACCGTATTACCGTTGGCGAGTGAGGGTATGTCATTTTGGTGAGAAATTTCTTGTTCGGGACATCAGTTAGTATTCTTCGTCTCGAAGGCATACTGGTCGTTGAATGAAGGGTATGGCACGTCGCTTTTGATGCTCCAAAGATATCTTCCCCCCAAGACCGATGTCAAGGGCAAGGAAAAACGTTGTACGTCGATCGCCAGATGAGGAATAAATAAGAAGTTGGTGAATTGACCTCAGTCTCCAACTACATCTGGTGGTTTCCTCTCCCGAATATTGCCTGCTCTAGCGGCCTCATCACGCAACGTCTCTCCCTCTTTCCGCCACTGAACCTTTTCATAAGCGTCCCATTCTTCTTTAGCGTCGATCCATCGCTCCTGCACATCCCTAACGTCGTTGGATGACCCATGCCTCTCCCCAATGGCACTCGTGAACAGCCCAAATGCGTTTGGTCGTGTTGAGCCGGAGGTACTACTCGTGTCAATCGTCCCTTCTGGCATTTTGGAGTCGGCTGCCGGAACGAAGACATAACCCGTTGCTCGGTCAATCGCTCGTGTGAGATTAAGCATCGAGTTTTTGTCCTGGAGATTCATCAGATATGAAGAGTGAAGAAGTAACAACACACCTCGATAGCAAGAGTTTCAAAGTTGACAAGGCTGTAGTCCTCAATGAGGGAGATCATTGTCATGTTAAGTGCAGCGTATCGCGGGGCTGAAGCAGACAGGGCGTTTTCGAGATACGAGAGGTCTTGAACCTCCGTGTAAAAGTCAAGATTGAAGTCTAGCACCATAATTACTAACGCTCATGGAGACGAAGGTAACTCACCCAAATCGCCATACTGCGAAATCAAGTCGATTTTTGAGAGGACATTGATGTGCGGTAACTCCAGATGCAGCATCGTCCGCAGAGAAAGAAGTAGCACTGATATGTACTTTGGAGCATCAGTCACATAGTGGGCATCGCACAAATGGACGGCAGCAAGCTAAGAGGCCTGACTCGTACTGAGCAAGAACAAGCAAAGAGAACGAAAGTGCACGCACGCGAAAGCCCCCTTTTGACAGCCGTCCTATGATGTTCTTTACGCTATCGTGATTCGTGCTGAGCTCTACTTGGCCAGGCAGGTCGAAAAGCACATAGGCGTCTTTCCCCAATGCATCCAGTTGCTCCTCCAGCCAGTCCACGTTTGCCTCAAGGTACTCCATACAGTAGAGTAGCCCGCCGTTTGGCCCAAGTCCATGCTCCTCCATGACATCTTGGAGTTTGATCAGAGAGGAAATGTCGATAGCGCAGGGATATGGAATCGATTCATTCGCGGGATCGAGGTTGACTATGGAGATGGGGCGATTGAGAGCGGTGAAAAGTTGGTGTTTTCCATGGCAATATGTAGATTTGCCGCTGCCTGGCGAGCCACAAACCACCTCCCCAAAAGGCATGACGGAAGAGGAAAGATGGTATGTCACGCGTGACCTCTTTGACAGCAACTTGACTGCCAGCCAAAACGAGAGTTTGTGCTTGTGGAGCAGCACTTCCTAATTTCTCTGAACACAGTTGGAACTATGCTCAATCTTAATCTTGCTTGATTGTCCATCAACATGCCCCCCGTTCAAATGTTCAACGTTTGTTTAGTCGAATGGTGGAACTTGACTGGGTCCGATGAGCACCCAGCACTCAAACCGACTCTGACCCCGTGAAGGCACAACTCAACTCAGAAGGCTTGTACTCCGCCCCATTCCCGATGTCTGCGCCTCCAGCAATACAATCCCGACTCCCTCATGGCGATTCTTTGCAGTGCAAAACCTTCACGGGGCCCTCGGCATGTCGTATTCGCAACTCACGATGACGAGGAGAATACCGCTTCCCCGCCTTTTTTGGCTGCTTATCTGACAGCGCTAGTGCCTAAATATGTCATGATCGCCTCCAATCCTCCCGTCGTCCGCGATCTGCCATTTTTGATTTCGGTGTTTGTACTTGTTTAGATAGACCCAATCTAGCCTAATTTGGAAGGGTCCGGTGACAGAATGCCCGGCCGATCTTCCCTTCACGGTCTCTTCCTTCCGCCCATGCCCGGCCAAGTTGTCGACGAGCAACTCCGCCATCGTATCGTGGCCTGGAGGCACCAGCACAATCTCTCTGCCCCAGAGATTGCAGCACTCGCAGGCTGCTGCGAGCGAACCGTATACAACATCCTACGACTTGACCGCGACTTTGGACAACCAACCAACCCATTTGTCCCCAGGGGCCGGCGGTCGTCGTGCGCCTGAGCGGTTTGGGGTGGAGTGTGGAGTAACGTGCGTCACACATGGCCCAAATTGGGTAGACTCCGGGTCTCCGGCCGGGATGTCATCCTCAATCAAAATTCACGACTGCAATCAATTTTGCAAACGTCTGTAGGAGAACACCGCAAAACAAGACACACTGGCAATTCGCGAATCTTCTCGAGCAACTCCACCGGCGCCAGCATAATCAGTCCGACAGTTACTGCAAGAGCCATTCGGTTCCATGTCGTGTTTTCCCAGAAATTCCCTCTTGACGTTCCGCCGCCGGCGCTTAGACAACTATAAGTGTGTTGCGTCTTTCAAACTTTGGACGGTTCTCACAATGAATGCAGTGCTTCCATGCCTGGAGCAAGGGGCGGCATGGTGCTTCTGCCAAGTTCGTTTGAGCACGGTTACCAGAATATCACTTGTCGGCGATCGCTCTACATAATATAAAGAGACTCGCCTTCATTCTGGTCCGGCAAGTGGAAGAGAACAAGATTCCCCTCGCGCCAGGCCTCACTTCCGAGTTGCCGCTCACCCGTCAATACTGCGATTACCGGCACACCAGTAATCGAACCCTTGCCCGTGGTCAAAGAGCATACGAGAAAACATGCGTGCTTAGACAAAAACCCCACTCCAATCGGCCGCTTCTGCGAACTCCCGCCAGCTGCGGGTCTTCTGTGCAAGCCCTTCATGCGACATTACCGTGTCATTTGCGTAATCTGAAGAAATTTCAGCCTGGAAAGGAATGAGAAGGTGGAACCATGATATCACGCACAACCGAACTCCCCAATGCCAGTGAAGAGCTCAACCATCCCATCAATAAGATGGACAGGGGCACCAGCCGCTCTCAGCCGCTGTTTGAACTCCTCTGGCGAACTTTGTTGATATACTACTTTCTTTCCGGTTACTAAGAGACACAAGTCGGTCGTCATCCAAGTTGTCCTAAACATGTCGTGCTTACCTTCGGACAGCTGTTGCATCTGCTCGTCTAGCGTTAGATGTTCGCTCCATGCCGCAATCGTCTGGCCGTCCGGAAACACCTCTGCTTCAATGGCTCTCTGCACGAAGAGCCCATAGTCACGCTCAATGTCGATGATTGGAATAACGGCGGACGGGGGCATCGGGAAGCTCGAGATCCAGATGTCAGACTCGGGAGCTTTTCGTCGAGGCCGTTTGCTGGTGAGGAAGTCGCTCGCGTAGCCTCCTGCTTGAATATCCACGAACGGCACGCCACATTGTCGCCCATACTCGGATACCTGCGCCTTGGTTTCGAATTGCGCCGCTCGGGTGTATTTCCCGCCAGACAGAGCTGCCACGCTGAACAGCCCGGACCAAACGACGCCTTTCGCTCCCGCGGCCTTGGCAGCGTCGATCATGAGCTCGGCTTCTCCGATTTGCTGGGCGGATCAGAGGGAGGAACTTCAAAATGAAAAGATCTCACCCGTGTGGGTTCACCGTGATCCACCCAGTTCGTCACAAGCTAGCAGGATCATTAGCCTGACCTTTCCTAGTCAGAGTATACTAGTAGAAATCTGGCGCACAAATGCGAACGTGGCTCCCTCGAATGTACCAAAAACCGCTGCCTGATTCTCCTGCGTTACCGAGGGAACAACAACCATCTCAACTCCCTTATCAGCCCACACTTGTGCGGCGGGTTTGGCCCCGTTACGAGTAAGTCCCCGGATTCGATATGGTTTGTCTGAGGAAATAAGTGCACGGATTACGCTGCTGCCTTGCAGGCCCGTGGCACCGGCTACGACAACGAGCGGAGCAGAAGTGTTGTGCGAAATGGTCATGGCGAACTTCCAAAGGATACCGCTTGCCAGCGCCGCTTTTAAAGCCTTATGTGGCGGAAGTGATCGTGGGATAGATAACTAAGCGGGGGCGCTCGAACTCGGTTCAACGGACCGTGGAAGCTTACTGCTCCTCTCATACCAGCCAAGAGATCGCAATCAGATATGGCGGTGTTGTCGGGAATTACTAATGCTCATCGGTTCTGCGCACAATGCATGGCAGGGATCTTACAGGTAACTACTTATTTAGTACGAAGCGATGGCCATCTGAGGGTTACTCTGCAATAGATATAAGCGCTTTCCACATTTGGCAATCAACGCCCACGTCCTAAAATGGAAATTTCCTCCCAACACGGGATCTACGGCGGTACCGGTAGAGAAGAGCCTGAGCGTCAAGGTGGCTTGTGAGGATGAAGGAATTGAAGTCACGACGAAGAACTTATGCTACTATCAGAACCCTCCGTGTTTATCCCTCGCACTCTGTGGATTCAGGCAAAAAAGGTGGCTTGACCTTTTTGAGGAGAATCTAGGCCTAAATGGGCATGGCCCCAGATTTAGTGCACGTGACTCGAAAAATAACGAAATTTTGAGTCACGTGTAGGACAATCCGCGGCCTTGATTTGAATGCAATTGGTGGAGCACAGATGACACCAGTTTTGCCACAAAAACCCCTGTTCCGGCCCCCCAGTTTTTGCAGCTTTTTTGCAGCGAATCCCGGTGTGCATGCTAGTAGGCTACTACTTATGCGAAGTATATATTCAAGAAAATGCTGACAGAACTTGGACATTGATGCGGAATAAGTAAGTAGTGGGAGGAACAGTAAGCGGTTCTGGAACTACAAGCGCGCCTTCGCCCGAACTGTCTTTTTGTGTGTCCGCTTCCCATCGAGTGCACGGTCGACGATATCTTGGACCTAGAACATGGTCAGCAAAGAAAAACTCTACAGGCGACGGGGAAGCGCTTACCCGAGCATGCGAGATGACATTGTGGTGATATCCACTGCAGTGGCCTGAATGGTCGTGGTCGATCTCGTGGCACTTGTGGCCCTCCTTCTTGAGCTTGCCGTGCAGCGACTTGGCAATTTCCTTCGCGTCGTGACCGCTGTTGGCCTGATCAATAATCCAGTCGTGGTACTCGTGCTCAATATGTGCGACATCGTAGGCGTTAAGGGCGGAGCCGACAACCAAGAAGCGCATGCGCGCCGAATCCTTGGTGGAGGCAACTTTCATTGGCACATAAGCACCCCTGCTTTACTTAGCATGACGTCGGGTATTGAAATCGCAACGCACCCAGTGCCAATGTCCTTTACCATTTGCTTGTAGTAGTGAACAGCCCGCTAAGAAACTAGTCAGACATGCGAGTGAGAGGCAATGGTGGGATATAAAACCTTGTACGTGTTAATTTCCGGTACGCAACCCAAGACAAACTGCAAATCATGAGAACCAGAAGCGCATGGGACCGTGGAGGATTTTGCATACCAGCATGATGTCGTTCTTGCGGTAATCCGACACAATACGAGGAGTGTTGATAGCTATGAAAGAAGTGTTGAACCCGCGCAGAGTCGAGGGAAGAAGACTGATGCGTACAACTGGGCTGGCTTTTCGGTACCCTGTCACCAGGCTCGACACCATGGGGCGGCGAGTCGGTAATCAAGAAAACGACCTTTTGCGCGTCACCCCTCCAGGCAGAGCGAAGAGCCGCATCAAGAGCATCGAGTTGAGCCTCTGGCCCGTCACCACCGCCTTCCGCTCTCAGAGCCTTCAGCTGCTTCTCCAACACATCCGGGTCTGAGGTAAAGTCGTGTGTGTCTTTGATTGTCCACGCATCACCTTGCTCGCGGTGGTCGCGGAAGGCAATCAGACGGAAGCGGGCAGTTCCCTTGGGCCCAGAGTGCTTCGCGTTTTTGAGGCCATCAGAAATGAGCTTGAAGTAGTTGCGCGTCTCCTGGGTGGCAGAGTGGAGATATGGGTCCTGGCTACCCGTCGAGTCGTGAACAAACACGACATCGCTGGAAAGGGCATGAGAGCGTGGCTAGAGTGGTGGTGAGCAGCGACTTACAGGTTTCGGCTCTTGGTACCCTTCCTGCTGCCGACGGTGGTGTTGATTACTCCAGGCATTGCTGAGGCTCAAAGCGATAGAGAAGTCGCACATCTTGCAAGACTACACGCCTATATAGCATGCACATACTTGACAGCACCCACGGCATGAGGGCAGAACACTGGTTCTGGCATCAAGGGCCGGACACTTGTCTGGCAGGATGAACTGAGGAGTTTGACTTCCCCGCCGGTCGATCATAGCGCCGGTTTCCTATCCGGGAAACGACAGCACCGTCTATCAACGCTGCCGCTGATCCGTCAGACCCGGAAAATGGCGCACCAGATGTTGCGGACACGCGCCGACGATTTGGCCGAAGGGCGGCAGTAAACGTCTGCCGTCGATGTATATTGGTCATTCGAGCCTTCAACCGCTCAATAGGCTTCGATAACAGCCTCCCTCGGAGAGTGATATCGAATTCGCCGTGTGTCGTCCATCGCAATGTGCGAAAGGAGCGACTTGGAAAGAGCGAAATTTTCAGTTTGATTCAGTCCTGCACCATACGGTTCTACCCCGTCGTTTGTCTTGGTTGTGGTGGTGGTAACCAACTCACACTAAGCTTCAGCCAAAGAAAGCAGCCAGAAAATCGCCATTGTGCGTTTAATATTGAGAACCACGACGGTTAAACATTTGACTAGTTCTGGCAGCCTTATATCGGACTTCAGGATCAAGTGTCTTGTATAAAATTGAGCCGTACTTAACGTGATCATGCAACGCCATTCTGCTTGGAGAGCTGGGTAATGACTCAGCAGTACACGTGATCGCGTATCTGTGTCTAAGTACGAATCGGGATGTTCATGGATCCGGACGTTCCAAGTACACATAGTTCGATCAGTACTTGTATCTGAAAGTTTCGTTTTCGCGGTCGGTTACTATTATTGGGTCAATACGTCCAAGATTGAAAATCGCGACGTACAGTTTCGCCACTCAAGGTTATCTGGCTTCGCCTCTCGGCTTTGGTTGAGTTCCTCTTGGAATGCTTTGTCGCGAACGCTGTTCTGCCATCCATAGTATACCCTTAACGCCGCCGCAAACAAAGCTGTGGCGATTTCAGTCACCAAAAGTATAATTTTGGCAGGAATGTATTGCGGAGCGTCTTTGGGCTTGAACAACTGGGGACCGATAATGTTGCCAACAGAGAAGGCACCCGAAATGAGCGCGTTAGCGGCGACACTAATGACCAAGTCAGTTCAGCTAAGAAACATATCTTTCGCTGACACACCGTTTGGTTTGTCCCGCGACATTAGCGGTGGTGAGACAGAAGACGAGGAACAAGGTGACAGTTTCCTTGGAAATCATGGTTGGCATCGCTTTGGTCAATCACATATAGCCAGAGCTCACCATATTGACCAGATACACGCCTGCAAGAAGGCCGGCACGTTGATTCGACGGGAGAAACGACATCAGTCCCGAGCCCATTGCAGCCAGACAGCAAAAAACCGTCATAGATAGTGCGCGGGCATTGTACCGGTGGGCTATGTACGCTGTTGCGAGGCACGAGAGCAGAGAGACAGCTCCGCTCGGCATGTTCAATAACGCGCTTCTTTGAGGCGAGAATCCGAAGTTGCGGATGAGGGTGGTCGAATAGAACGATATAACACCAGATGTGAGGGAAGTGACGATGATGAGGCAGGTCATCAGCCATATTTGTAGGTCAAGAACGAGCTCGCGCAAGTGCTGCCATTTGAAGTGGGTGTTCTTGATCCCTGTCTGATTGACGGAAACACGCTGAATTGCAACCCTTTTCTCTGCTTCCGTGAGCCACGACGCTTCCATTGGTGAATCGGGCATGGAACAAAGAGCCCAAATACCTGTAGCTGCGGTCACGCAGCCCAGGACAAGGAACATGTTTCGCCAGCCTGAGAGTGCCTCATGGTGCACCTTTTGGAAACCTTCAAGAAGGACTTGAATGAGTACATTATGATCAACAGGCCTGGAGACCAACCCCATGATAAAAGGCTGCCAAGCATCTGAGCAATACCTGACGGTTTTCTGAATTCGGTTCCTTCCCGCAAATTCAGGTCACTTACCCAACCCACAATACCAGATGGCAAAACGAATCACAGCTTCCGATTTAGTGTACCACATACCTGGAAACCATAAGTTCATCAAATATCAGAGTAGCTACGCATACCAGTTATGAGCATCAGACACGGTGCAGTTGCCGCCTCGAGAATGCCAATCATGATCCGGGTGGCCACTAAGCCACGGTAGTTGTTGACGGCGGCCATGCAAGCCGTGACAACGCCCCAAAGAATCATGTTGAAGCCCAACCACTTCCCTGGTCGTACTTTCTGCACGATGTAACCTGAAACATCATCAACTTTCGACAAGAGTATCGTTATGCATAACGCGCCAGTAGGAAGTTCGGCGATTAAGTTGGCGATGTACATGGCACTGGCAGCGTTATTGAAGTCGTTGCCAATAAGCTTGAGATCCTGATTGAGTCCCATCACGGCCGCATACTGTGAGCTAAACAGGAAGCTTGGAAGCGCAGCCAAACAAAATGGACTTTACGTTGATGTCGCTGGAACAGACTCAGAGAGCGTTCTCATATAGTGATACAACTCACAATTTATCCAGGAATTGCAGCGTAAACGCAGCAAGCGCGATGGGCACAATATGCCTGTCAATTTTTCGCACCAGTTGTGCCTGGTCGACCGTGGTTTCTCCGGCTGGGCTACCAGGATGGGATTCCAGGTACACGATGGCGAGGTCGAGGCTGGTAAAGCTGCCCTGTACAGACTGAAGTGCCGGAAGAGTATGACCTGTCTTTTCTCGTATGGTCGAGTCGTTCATTGTGAGGAGGGTGTCCCCGCCGCCCGATGTCAAGAGCAAACACCTCAGGTTTTATAAGTCCTTGGGAGAGTTGGAGGCCAAACTTAGCACACTTACTAACGATCGGTCAGTTACAATATGAACGGATTTGTGGACTGATTGCCGCAAGACTGACAAGTCCTCGAGTCGGCGTTTGGGAGAGATGAGACAATCGTTCCGTCAACGGATTATTCAGTGTTCACAGGCCGGAAAACATCCTCGAATTGAGTTAAGCGGCGTTAAAGTGCTCCGCCCTGGTCGTTTCCTGACAGTATACAGTTAAAGGGGTAGGAGGATGCGAAAACCAGGAGGCGGGTACAGTAAGAAGGTTCTGCAGCACCACTCTGACCACGATCAGTGGTCATGTCATTGAGGCTATTGGTGGGAGATTCTGACGCAGGTATGGTAACTCTTCGAGTGGCTTGATATCGTCGAGGTCAGCTGCCGGGAGTCAGGCTATCGTCGTCAGAAATCTGTTATCCACCTAAAGAATGCGTACATATCATGCGGACTTCGGCCTGAACGCTAGAAGAAAGGCGTAACATCACGAGAAGTTGTGAGGTGACCGACTCTCATGTGTAGCTAAGCCACAAAATATTAGCATTGCCTCTCAACATGAGATGGTTGTGATTGACTCACGGTGTCCAACGGAGTATCTCCCATTCTACGTTGATAGAACGCCTGAGATCGACAAATGTGTTGTTCAACGTTCCCACATTGACCGACGAGAATGGGCTTGAAACGTCGTGTCTGGACGAATTTCCCAATGACAACAACCAAAGATATGTATTGGCAGGAATATGATCGCGTCCAAACTACAGTGCGGTCTATGTTGTCTTTAGCTTTTCTGCATGAAGAGAGCGCAGATGCTCGTCAGCGAGAAAGCGGACCCCGCTCGCTGCGAGGGCCAATATCGAGGCGAATATATATCCTGTAATCGCGCCAGTTGTTGGCGTCAATGGCCAGGCCTAGCGTTTGTCAGCAGTGCAAATCTTGGTGCAGTAGGAAGACTCAACCTGCCATGGTCGGTCCCAGTCAAGTGCAATGGGAATTACCCCAATCCAAGAGCCGACGATAGTTCCGATACTAGGATAAAGTATTGCCCGCTCAACTGGAGAGCGACATCTGAATTTGTTTTGAGAGGCATTTCGTATGGAGGGGATGGAACATACGAGAGGTCTGAGAAAAGACGAATCCACGTAAGACGTGTGACAGTCGAATCTGTCCCGGAGAAGGGCGAGCCAAAAGTGTAGGACGGAACGAACGTTGTTAGAATGGAAAGAAGGACGGCAAATAGGAATGTCTGTGGCAGATGGCTGACTTCCATGAGAGACCCATAAAAAGCAAAAAAAAAAAAAAACAGCGCAAACCTATTTGTTGGGGCTCCCAAAAGTATCAGCGCGACAAAATAAATTCCAGCAGCCACGGCCGTCGCGATCCAGGCATCCAGCAGCGCCTACAGTCGATGAGAACGAGCTTCTAGGGTAATGATACTCACATACCGCAATCTTCTTCGCGTCTATTCGAGCTCTTGCCACTTTTCTCTCCGCTCCCGTACCCTGCAATATGGACTCAATTCTCCATGACCTTAACCAGCCACCCCACCAGCTCTGCAGCACAGCGGCTCCGAGACAAATACAAGCGAGAGTTGCTGGAGGACTACGGGTCAAGACTTCGAGGAACGCCGCTTGCGGCCTGTCGCGTGAGGTGAATGAGTTGGGGTCGAGTTCTGGTGATATCAATTCTATGACTCCAGGAGTTCGAGGAAGAAATAGCGCAGAGAATGCGTGGAGCGTTGTGTGGACACCGACAGCGGCAGTATAAGAGGCGAAAGGGAAATGACTTGGATTGGGTGGGATTGGCGGTGATGTGGCCAGCCGAGCATCAGGTCGGCTCGGGGTTGTCCTGGGCATGAAAAGCAAATGTACGCCGGATATTTGTGCGAGTGCTCCGAGTGCGCTTCTGGCCAGAAAGTTGGAAAACTGGCGTGAAAAAGATAAGGAAAGTGAATTTGGTCAGGGTCGCTGTGTCACGGTCACGCGTGTGACACACGCGTTTCCCTTTCCCTCTAACCAGTTCCTGCCATCCTTGCCACTGCGATGCCAGAATCGAGTGACGACGAGGTCCAACGAGACCCAGTCACCCAGAAGCCACTAAACTCGCGGCGGATCCTCTTCGAGCCCGTGATTGGACGCGTTATTGACGCGCTTGGTGGATACGAAGCAGGCGTGTATCGGATGGGAGACGAGGCCAGTGGGTGTTTGAAAGACCTAAAGAAACTGTGGAGGAAGGACGACGATGACGATGAACGAACTATTGCGCGAATATTCTGGGAAAAACGCGTCCTCATCAATGACCTTGTGCCTATACTGCTCCTGACTGCTGGGGCGGGCCAGGTTGAAGACAAACGCGCTGTCTCTGCAGCAGACCTTATCTCGGCAATGACTTGGCCCATAGACGTAGCGGAGGAGCTCGCTGAACTGGAACCAGGGGAACGAGCAGACTATACCCAACTCCATGAAGCCCATCGCAATTACAAGACTGCCCTTCTTCAGCCTGGAGTTATGTCGGCGCTCTTCGCTATTCTTCTTCCGCCATTGGCCAAACCACCCCGAGAACGGTCACTTCGCGATAACCAAGTTGCCACCCTCGTCTTACACATCATTCGCAACCTTGCAGCAATCAGAGACCGAGACGGTCTACAGTCACGCTTCGTCCGTGGGTTGGAGGAGACACATATTATCGAGCTCATGTTCACTATTGCGACTAACGCCGAATCCGATCCTCTCCTTGGTGGTTGGAACACGCTAATTCTAGAAATATTTTTCTTCTTATTTCGAGGGACACCACCAGCGACGCTAATCGAAAAGCCACAAGTGTGTCCATCCTTTTTCGTGGCACCATTTATCTGACGATTTTCAGGTCAAGCTTCAAAATCTTCTTGCAGCCGAAGCTCGAGCAGCGATTGTCCCAGTTAGTCGCCATTCACGCTTCGGTACCACTATCGTCGTTACTGCCAATCCAGCCAAAAAAACTGCCGAAAATGAAGACTTGCGGAAGACCAATCCCGCCAAAGCCCTTTTTCACAAAACCGGCAGCACGTCTACTCTGTTAGATGCTGGCAAACGCGCGCCAAAGACTCGAGCTGCTCCAGCAATAGAAGCTTCCTTGGCCGATGATCTGAATCCGGAAGCCCGTGAAGTACTGAGAAACCTCGCCAGAACAATGCTCGACGAGGACATCTTCAACACTTTTGTCACCGCTCTCTTCAAAGACATCAAGATGGAGAGAACGTGGGCGACAGGGGCACGGGTGCCGATGTGGCTGATGGCTGTGGTTAGGTGGATGCTGACGTTTTTCTTACTTGAAAACAAAGACGAGAAGAACAAACGCACTAAGCGACGACATGGACTGGTTGCGGCAGCCGCTGAAACAGCCTTCGTGTCGTATGTTTTAACACGTATGAAGGATGCGACGGAAGAAAAGGTATGTTTGCTGGTTGCTATAGTATTTCCATGTTGATCGTCCCATAGCCGAAAGGCTGGCCAACGCTATATGCCGGTATGGGATGCCTTACACAAATCCTCCTCCTTTTGGACACCATTTCATCTACTTCTGAAGAAGATAATGCAGACGCCGACGCAGCTCAGACTCTGCGTTCCCAGCTAATCTATGCTGGCGTTCCCCTTGATCTTGCCCTTGACTGCCTTCGAGCGTGTACTACAGGCAACGCAGACGGTCGGGGACCTGCCTTCCTCGATGCTGCAGTTACATTCGCATATTCAATGGTCAGAATGGTAGAGAGGGCGGGAAACGAGGGAGACAATACCTATGTCAGGCGTCGGAAAGTCGGGAAGCAAGCGGCGGATGGGGAGGATGCTCACGATGCTGAAGAGGAGGCCCGCAGGAAGCAACAGCAAAAAGCGAACGAAGAAAGAGAAACAACTTTTTCGCTGGAAGCTTTTGAAATGGTATGTTATGATTCATTTCGTTTTAGCCCGTTGGCCAATCTTCTAACAGCGATTTGCGACTCCAGAGATTACGAAGCCGCTCTTGCTTCAGTTGTCTCGTTTCAAAGAGCTACAGTCTAATCCAGAAGCCATTCGTCGTGTCATCGGGCTCTTACATCGAGTCGCAGTCCGGGCGAAGGCCGAAGGGTTATTCTTTAATGTGCGTCTTTATCTCGACGCTGATACGAACCTTACTTACTCTCACAGGTAACGACATTGCAACTCTTTCAGGCGATCTTAGCAGCGCAAAGGACTTTTCCTCGCGACCAGCCGCATAAAGACATGATTTCGCTCACTAACTTCATACTAAGAAGATTCTTCAAGGCGCTGGAGGAGGAGCCATTCCTCGCCGTCGAGGTTGGTACCTCATTAGTACCCTCTATAGGCGACATACTCATACTTATGCAGGCGTTTTTCCCGAAGAACCGGGGTCAGTGGAAATCGTTTTCGAGCTGGGAGGCTCCGCCAGAGAAGGAGAAGAAGACCCGAACACGCGCGGTAAGACCCGGGGCGAACGAGGTCAAAGTAAAGAGGGGGTACTCTTGGAGCGAGCAGTTGGGTATCACCATCGCCGCACTCATCGAATCAGGGAATGCGAGCTTGATTACATGGACCGTCACGGTAATTGGAGCATACTCAGGCCTTATTGACTGGCTAAGGGACCATATGCGATAGATCATCGAAACCGTGCTGAGAATGTGGAAGAAGGTTATCGAGACTCTGGAGCAAGAACGCCCCAGAGATCTTCTTGCCGATGAAGACGACGATGACGACGAGGCCTTGCTAGCGAAACGCATGGCAGAGAGGATAGAGGCACCATCAGCTGAAATGCTGGAAAAAATGCAAGATTTCCGTATGGCATGGTCTAACGAGTTGTTGACGGGTGCTGATCATTTTTACAGTAATACCATACACGGACGATGAGGAAGCCAAAGCGGCAACTGAAAATGCGCAGCTGAAACTTCTCTTTCGACTAGCTAAGTTTACCCAACTCGATGAAGGTGCGAGCAAGCAATCCCGTTCTTATTAATCGTCCATTGGCATTTGCTGACTACCTCCGTAGTCGACGGTGAGGTCGAGGCGCAATGGATCGTGCCCAAAACTGTACCTCCGAAAGATCTGCAGCGGACGGTGAACGTGATCGAGAAGTTCCTGGCCACGCCGTTTAACCTCAAGGGCCAGAAGGCACACGAGCTGCTGACAAAGTCGACATCCACACGAAGACGCGCTGTCTCCGTGTCAAGCTCATCTTCTTCGAGTTCGAGCTCGTCTTCGAACTCGGAGAACTCCGACACAAGCAGCGGAGAAGCCGAGACCGATGGAAGTGGAGATGGGGGAAAGACAAAGAAGCAAAAGAAGAAGAAACGGCGACGAAGTGATGCTCAACGCAAGGAGAAACCGCCCAAGCCTGTGCAGGAGTACAAGTCGGCGCAATTTATCGAGGACAGTGATGAAGAGTATGGTGCGATGGATGAGTTTTTGGCGCGGGAGAAAGAAATGAGGCAAAGGATTGAGAGCTTGGCGAAAGAAACTGGCAAGAGTGCAGGGATGTTGACGACGGGCACAAAGAAAAGAAAGAAAAGGGATGTGAACGAGGGACCAAAGGAGCGAAAGAGGAGGAAAAACCTGCACCCTGAAAAGGAAAATGAAGTCTCCGATGCAGAGGATGCAGGAGATTCAGATATTCAGGTATCGGCACCTGCCCCAAGGCCAAGGCCAAGACCATGGCCAAAACCCAAAGCGGCCCCACGGAAGTCATCCGATTCACCACCCAAAACTACTGTGGAAATTGCCTCGGAAAGCGAGTCTGATATCGCGGTGGATCCTGGACCTGGAAGACGCAAAACGAATAGATTGGTGATCTCGGACGACGACGATGAGTAGTGGCCAATCATTTTGCGCCACCGTCAGTCAGTGTATGGCTTTGGACGCTCATTGGCTACATAACTCGGGAAAGTGGGAAATGCTCCGCACTAGATTCCATGACAATTGACATGTTTTCTTCGAAGTATCTATTCGACAGTGTTGATTACTGATGAATTTGGATAAATTTCCTACTTCGTCGGAGGGCGACGTTGACAACGACTCCACGTTCAGTGTGGTTCCTTGTGCCTGCTTGGTCGTGTGGACAAAGACTGTTTCTGTCACTTCAATCCTTGTGGCGCTCAAGCTAAATTCACAGCAAGCAATGACGTCGAGGAGAAAGCCAGGGACAAGGTACTTGAATCAAAGTGGATAGTGACTTACATCCTAAAGAGGGAAGCCTTAGATTTATTAGCGACTGAATTCACGACCTAAATACAAGTCATCATTCGCGTCGACACAGCCTACCCAATTCACAGTCCGGCTTTCCGTCCGTAAGCGGACTCAGCGTGAATGACAACTATATGCGCTGGACGCCGGGGCGAACGTTATCTCGCTCGGGAACTTGGCTGAACTTGGGGGTTATTGTTATCGTTCTGTGGCTATTCGCCGTTCCGAACTCTCACTGGCAAGTCGGACTCCGAGTTGAACGCCGTCGGAGTTGAATTGTTGTTCTCGCGTCGGGCTTGGGGCTGCGAGTGGGATTCAGAAGCCGGTGGGCGAACTGTCAAGCAAGGTGACCGAGAGATTGCGATGTAGCTTATTGCCAACACGATGCACTGGCAATTCCGAGTCTTCAAGAGAATTTAATTGCAAGGGAGAAGGTTGACTGAATAATAATAATATTGACCGATTTGAGGCTTCGTGCGGACCTTGAGACGCGCCAGTCAAGGTCCGTTTCCAGGAGTAGTCTGGTGACCTTTTCGATATGTCTGTCGTCGAGCTAGGTTGGAGCAGCCTGGCAGGTGGGATATTCGGGCGATTAATCGAAGAGTGGGCCATGAAGACAAGTCGACCGGGTCGCTAGCCACCTTTCTTCCACGCCGATGTCTGAGGAAATGAAGACACTGGGTGCAGTAGGGGCTGGCCAGCGTCGCAGAAAGTATATTTGAATCTTGCTTGCTTGCTGCCTTCTTGTCGGGGGCCCGAAAACGGCGGGGTCGAGGCGGGCCACGTAAGCGCGACGGACGGACACGTTGTTTTGTGCCCGTGAGATTTTGGAGAGACACCATACAGTTCTGGGCTCGGGGCCCGCCCGGAAGCAAAATATCTGCTGCTTTCTCCCTGTCTGCTTTTGACGAATTTCATACTCCGCGGCACTGACAGAACACGTAAAAATGGCGTAGATTGTTTGTTCTTTTGGCGTGGAAAGACCAAGCAAAGTCCCAAGCAAAGAACACCTTCACCTAGGCTACTCGTTGCGAGCCACAGGCTGGACAACGCTGGAAAAGCTCCCAAATCAAGAAGGACCCTGATAGAGAGCGGGACGCATAGGGCCTTCCATGGCTCCTCGGGGGTCTGGGTGTGTTGGGAAGGACAGGAACGGGAGAGTGGATTCGCTAAAACAAACAAACATTGATCGGCCATCACGACTCAGCGAATAAAAAAAATTTGCTTCCGTTTCTGTTGTTGCGGTTGACAACGGCCGGTCGTGCCGACTAACTTCGCCTCAAAAGGGCCAAATCGGGGGGCTGGTGCTCTGTGCTCTGGAGAGGGGGGGAATGGGTGACATAGCCTAGGCTGCTCGAAAAGCGCAATCCACGCCAAAGAAACTTTTTTATGTGGATTATTGTCGCCCCGTTGTCGATGGGCGGGGCTCGTTTCAGAGAACTGATCGAAGTAAATCTCGTGATGTCTCGGACAAGACTTGCCTCGCGCACCCTATAATACGGCGTGTGCCCTCATTCTTCCCTCTTACTCTCATACTCTTTCCTCCCTCCCCAACTTACGTACCCTGATGTCGTCTATAAGCGGACATACGGCACAAACAGCAGAGAGGCCAGAGCGTAGCCGTAACGCCAAGGCGCAAGCCCGCCACCGCGCAAAGAGAAAAGCCTACATCGAGCAGGTGTGTTTACTCGTCGTTGAAGAGGGAGAGGGTTTTTTTACGCGTCAACAGCTTGAGCAAACTGTTACCAAGCTACAAACTGCTCTCGGCTTCACCCCCGAGCAAGTGACATCCTTGCCTCCACCGTTGGTTAAGATTCGCGAGCTCGAGCAAGAAAATGCGCGTCTCACGAAAGAAAACGACGAACTGCATCGACTTTTGGCCGATGCAGGCATTAATCCAGTCACCGGCGCCCGTTCTCTCAGTCTAGACAGTATGGGCAGACGCGGTTCTCCATTGGGGGCTAATTATGGCGACCCCCATCGCTCTGTAGAGCGCGACTTCAAGCGAAGAAAGATGGATGGAATGGACGACTACCTCGTATGTTTCCCTCATCTTTTGGCCAACGGCTCACCGAAAAATTTACACAGCCACCCAGCAGTCATCACCACAGCGATCTCACTCGGCCCCCACCTTTAACAATTCCGCAGTCCGGCCATGGTGGTCCTCACCATTATTCAGCAACGCAGCACACGTCCAGCTCCAATAGCTCAACTCCAGGCTCACTATTCTTGCCTCCACCTAATGCTCCGCCAATCGGGCCTCCCTTTGGCCAAATCCCTAATACACCCTCTGGATCGAGCTCAACATCGTCTCCCCCCTTTTCGGCGAGTCTTATTTCTCTGCCCTGCTAGGCCGGGCTGCCCTGCTTGAGCTTTTGATCCTAGTAATTTGTTTATTCAGCCCGCCACCATGCATGCCAACTCCAATCCCCATGCTCATTCGCACTCGCCAGTCGGCCACCGCCCTCCATCGATTCCCCACGGTCTTTCGAGCTACGCGTCGAGCGCGAGCAGCCAGAGCTATGTCAGCGTCAAGGCAGAAGACGATAGCTATGTGAGTTGGTGTCCCTACTTCGCTTCGCGTCTTATTATTCCAGCCGTCATCGCACCAGTCAAACCACTCGCCACACTCGCACTCCAACCACAGTGCCGGCGGCCACCACTACACCCTGCCCCCCTTCTCCCAGACGATCCCGGACCACTCGCTCGACAATCAGACGAGCAGCTGGCACCCAAGTTACTCGTCTGAGCGCGCGCCGCTTCACCGGTAGTCCCAAAAAAAGCAACGTTACGATCACATAGACGTCCTGAATGAACGAAGCCAAGCTATGTATCCACTGTACGCTACCCACACACTCGTCGCATTGCTGTCGCGCTCTGTTCTCTGTCCTCCCTCTCCTCTACGTACCTCAAGAACGGCTGTCCATTATAATATTCTTTCATCTACACAAATAAGAGCACATTTTGCATCAGACCCAGATCTATTGACGTAGTCCTCCGACCCCGACTCGCTCGGCCCCGCTCCGAACTGAGATGCAAACCCCGCCACATTCGCGAAGCAGCAGCAAAGTTGATACCAGTTCAGAAGCTTGTTGGGCCACTGGGCTGCCGCGGGCGGCACGCGGTACAAGGGCGGTGGTAAGCTCCCCCAAGTCTGTTGTCGGGTGAGAGTGGACGCGGACGGAAAGAGAGAAGCAGCGCCAGTGGGAAGGGCATCTGGCGATCTTTACGGGAGCACGCGTACGAGAACGGACGGCGAACAAGACTTGAAAAGCGGAGGAATTGCGGATGAAGTAAGTAAGGCGGATGCCGGAATCGCGGGTGTCGAAAGCGCCATGTCGTAGATCGTCGACGAAAGGATTGATAAGTGCAAGATAAAGGACTGACTGGACCGGAGGATGGCGATATTCGCCTTGAAGCCAGAATTAACACCGGAACGAGTAGGTTGTCTCCACCGATGCTACACGCGCCGCAGATGAGCTTCTTTTGCATTAGATGTCGATTTCAACCAGACAACTTGCTGTGGATGCCGCCTCACAAGTAAAGTCTGGTTTCAGTGGGTAGAAAGATGGCTTGTGTGAGGCTCTTTTCCGCAGTCAGACTGTAAGATCAGCTTTGATCACCCTCTAGGATCAGACTAAGGATGGGTAAAGAAGGTCATTCATAAACTTTGAAACCAGTGGCTCATGTGCTTTGTCTGCAGCGCTTTGAACAACAAGGCTTTGTTCGTTGCTCAAGAGGATAAAACCTGTTGCCCTGAGCTCGTTTGTCAGGCTTGCTAATATTTTTCTCTTCTGAGTCTTCACAACACAACAACACGACGTCACCCCAAAAGATTTCATCTGGCTCGTCGTCATCAATTATTTTGCTCCCGCCGGCGGTGATCCAGCCACGCGAGCACGGCTAGGCGACAGTGAGCCAGTGGCAACAGTGAGCCAGTGGCAACACACCATCCTTCCATCGCAACGAGTACCCTGGTCGTATTACCAAGCCTCCCGACCCGTCACCGAGTACACTTGATCGTCAATCGATACCGTCGCGGGGGTACAACTCGACCGTTCAAGCAGCTGCAAGGAGCTACTTCCAAAGGCGCAGAAGAGCCAAAGAAGAGCAGACCTTCTGACGAGCCGAAGAGAGCACGAGGCGATCACGGAGATCATAAAATTGCGCGAGAAACAACCAGACAAATGCAGTCAGCGTCAGCAACAAGCTATCTCCGTGAGGTAGAGATAGGGCACAAGGAAAACTTGAATCGGGGAGAACACGAGTGTGAGGAGGGATTAGGAGGAAATGAGAACCGGAATCCGGAGCGAGAAAACGCGTCGCTATTCCCCCCCAAGCGTCCCAGCTTGAGAGAACGACTGCAAGCGGAAGACACCCATCTCCTCGGCAACACAGCCGATTTGACCAGTGAGTAGTCGCATTTCCGCCCCTTGCCATGCTCACTGTCCACAGCACTGTTCGTGAGTGAGGTTTCCGGGGTATGCATAACTCCCGACAGCCTCCATGAGGCTGTACGTGGAACTGGCGATGTGAATGGCCTGTACCACCTTGCCATATCGATCCAACACGTATTAGATCAAAGGTATCCGACCCCTGGCTATCGGCAGCCAACAGAGGATTCGAGTGGTAAACCAGTGAAAGAGCCGGTGCCAGACCGTCGTTTGGTTCAAGACACTATGGAGCGCTTACTTGTGGAGATCGGCAGCGCTCTTTACGACCGAGTTGGTGGCCCTATTCTCCTCCCAATCGACCCACGACGTCATAACAACGTGGGTGGGTTGGTGCGCAGCGCGAAGCGCATGGTGGCCATGCTGACTGCCAAAGGCATCGACAAAAAACAGGTTATCGTCAGCGTGCGTACGACCATCTTCTTCATTTCCCTTCTTGACAAGAATTCAGATCGTCGCAACTGAGGACGGAGTCAAGGCCATACAGGTCCTTGCTGCGGCCCGAATCAACACAAATCTCATCCTCGTGTCTGGACTGAGGCATGCGATGATATGTGTCGAAGCTGGCCCGGCGGCAATTTCGATCGCGGTTCGACCAGTAAGTACTCGTCGTTTTCACCAGCAACCTCTGAGGATACTTCAGCTCTTACAAGCCCGAGAGAAGCGACAAAAACAGACCTTTCCCAACCTCTTGACTCATCCTGGCATCACAGATATTCTGGCTATTATCGAGTACTTCAAACGGCACAAAATCGCGACAAGGATATTAGGGACCGACTTTGAGGAGGTGAGAAAAGACATTGATTGGGATGGAACTGGACCTAACGTGCACATCCACCAGCTGGCTGAGCTGGCAATTCTTTCTGGGTTTGACGCCGTTTTTCTGAGCGCAGTTCAGTTGGAAGATGTCCGCTGGCGAAGCGACCCTCAGTTCCCGACAATGGCCTTACGAAAACTGCATGAAATGGCCGTCTTCAGGGCGCTTAACGGCGAATACCCCTGCAAGGTCCTTGCCAACATCCAACCCGGCACCGGAGGCTTCTTGCGGACTCTCTCGCCAGCGACACGAGAAGAGATTTTCGACACGCTCTACCCAGAGATGTACAGAATGCAAGATGTGATGAACGCGGTCGAGGCCATTGTGTACAAGGCGTTAGGAAGGCAGGTCGCGTTGCGGACGCTTAGCATGGATGCGCTGTGCGATTTATGGGAGCGGAAAGCCAGGAGGGAGGAGCCGCTGGGAAATAGGGAGAAGATTAATCATGACTCGGAGGAGTGCTTGTAATATATGAGTACCTACTTGCTGTTGACTCGGAGTGAAATCGGCTCTACAAAAGGTCGCGCACGGTGCGGAATAAGCTCATGAGGGTACTGCTGAAAGCCAGCTTGTCACGCGTGACGTGACGCGTTATCATGATGTGCTCCTTCAAGTTCAGAGTCCTTCTCTCGAGTCTCGCTACTTATTTCCCTATGCTTCTCAGTCTCTCGGCAGGGTGCTCTGTCCAATCCGTTCATTGGTTATAACTCTCTTCCCTCGGCATTCACATTTATGTCACAATATAATCTTGAAGTTGAAACTAAAACACGTTCAGCGCCAAGCGCCCGCCGATACTGAAATACTTATCGTTGCCTGACTAGGACTAGACTTAAGATATTCAATACGAGTCGTTCGCCGCTCAGCTCTCTTTGAAACTCATTTTCGGCAAGCCAAGCTCGCGCTCAACCTGGAGGTGTCGGGGTTTGCCCTATAAAAGCAGCGGTGAGTATACCACAAAGACCAGTCTCGCAATCCCTGCTAGCACCCCTTAAGTCCAGAAACTACCACAATGAAGCTCTCTATCTTCTTTGGCGCACTTATCCCAGTCGTCTATGGCGCGACGGTCGCCTCTCGCACCCAAGGCAATGTGTTGGTGTTTTTTCTACAGTCCGAGTTAGTCGAGGCTGATTGACACCAGGTTTATGTGCATCGACACCCAATTCGCTGGTGCATGTGCTCACTCCCATGGCGCCAGTGGCCAGTGCGTCCCCGTCCCAGCCGGCTTCAACGACAACATCTCCTCTTTCGGACCCGACTCTGGCCAGGACTGCTTCATTTTCGCGCAAGTTTTTCATCTTTGTACTCGTCTCTAAGTATTCTGACAAAACTCCAGCAATGGAGATTGCACTGGGGCGCAAGTCGGTCCCATTCGCAGCCCCGGCATTCCTGACCTTCGCACTGTCGGATTCAATGATGTGATGTCCGCCTTCAAGTTCGTAATTCAGTCTTTCTGTGCAAACTGCAGGACTAAGGATATTTTAGGTGCTTCTTTGGTTGAAGTCAGAGGGAGTACTCTGGAAAGAAAATGTGGTCAATTTTACGAGAAATTTAGACAGCTCCGTAGTTTGAACAGATAGCTGGGGATTTTCCGATACATTTGTTTTCCAGTTTTACTCTAAGCCAGCATATCGCACATCTGCATTCCCGTCCAGCCAACCAAGCCACTTCTTCAGATACTTGCCGCCATACGATACCGTTGACGAGTCACCGACAATACACTGGGAAAGCGCATTAGTAACTGCAATTGGTTATCAACAAGGCAACCCACAAGATGCCGCTTCGCTCGTGTCATTGCGACTGGAACACATTGAGTGGACGAAAAAGTATCCCTAATGAGTTATCATTACCATTCAACCGCCGTTTCTCCTTCAAAAATCCGACTTCCCGCTGTAACGACGTTGGATTGCGCAATGTGGAAGAGAAAGCCCGCTCACGGTATCATTGCTCCGTACAAGACTGATCACAACAGCCTCTTTCTCGCGCCCCTGCATGCCATCGACCGTCCCAATTTCGAGTTCCGCACCGTATTGGGGTCTGATGAGCGACGTCAGAAGTGTGACTTGAGCCTGGTATCTGGGAGATGGTGTGTCGAGTCGAAGTCATAATCCAAGAAGGACTAGACGTACGGCGAGATAACCGCTATCTGACTCGGGAGCACGCCAGCGCCAATAAGTTTGTCCACCCAGTTTTTTACGACAGTCGCCTCGTTCTCATTGCATCGACTGCCTTCGTCGCCATCGCCCTCTAAGCGCTCGAAATACTCGCATCCAGCGGTGTCGAAAAACACAACCGGCGTTGCCAACACCTCTTTCTCGTCATCTGGTGAGTCTGCATGGGTTTCTGGAAGATCCAGCAGGAGATGTTTCTCCACGGCGGGAGCAGAAGCAAGTTTAGAGCCGTAAAGCGTCTTCGAGGGAAATGTGCATATGTCTTGGTGCATCCTTCGGTATGGTAAGCATCACGTGAACTGGGGAAAAGGCAACAAACCGATATTGGACCTGAAGCATTCGCTTGATTTGCTTCCCGTACATTTTTTCAAGTCGATCGAACAGAGTAATTTCAAGTGTCCTGGGAGGTTTCAAAAGAGGTCCACGTTCTCCCTTATTCTTGGTCTGGGCCGCTGTCGAGTTGACCGGTTTGATGGATTTGGCTTCTTCCTTTCCCTCTTCGGCACTCGTTGCATCGGACTCTGATAATTCCGAACCAGATTGAGGAGGTGGTGGTGGTGCGGCCTTTTTGTCTTCATTCTTTTTTGTGGGTTTCGCCACTAGCTTTGGGGGTTTCATTTTGCTATCCTTGTCAATCGAAAGTACGGTGGGCGGAAGTTGCATTGGGTCACCCGCAAGGATAAGCTTGCGGCCTTTCAATATGGGGACCCAGCAGACCTGCACAAGTTAGTTTCAATTTTCTAAAGCTCTTGATACTAACAGCCTCCATTGCCTGAGTCGCCTCATCGATGATGACAACATCGAATTCATGGTTTCTCAGCTGCCGGCCTCCTGCGGAATGACATGTCGCAATCACAACCTGGGATGCATGGTGAATAGCATGACGGACCCAAAACACCAAGTACCTGTGATTCCACGAGAACGGAATTGACGACACCCCCCTCACGTTGTCGATACCTAATCAACGTTAGACAATCCGATTTTACAAATGAGAGGGTGCTCAACTCTTTCCGTAAAGCCTTGACTTCATCCCACATCTTCCTTCGCTCGGCACCACGAGGTGGCTTACCCTTCCCTTTCCCTGAAAGCGTGCTCAAAGCTGTTTCGAGCTCATTTTTTACGTCTTTTGCAAGGATCGCCTTAAGTTATATTGAGCTATGCACAGAGATTGCCGAGACGTGGTCACATACCTGGTCCGAACGACCTGCTTTAACCTCCAGCGTCGAGTCCAAAATGTCTGCATTGGCCATCACCCGCGCCGGATGACCGATTCGCGTAACTTTGATTCGGGAGCCTTTATCTGTAACAGGCAATGCGAGCAGTCGTTCAAGGATGTTGTCCACTGATAGGTTAGACGCGCCGCAAACCAAAACGCGGAGCGATTTTGGATTGCTTGGTGTTACGGCGGTGAGCTGCCGAATTATCTCGACGAGTGTGTGCGTTTTACCAGTCCCTACTTTACGTTATGTGACCAAAAGATTGGTTTAGAAGATGTACCTGGTGGCCCATGAATACAAGCGACCTCGCCCGCTTGCAAAGCAAAGCGAACCGCGTCTTTTTGACTCGGATTGAGAGATTCGTCGAAGAAAGAGAGGTTGGGCAGCGGATTTATGGTGTCCGGTGAGCGAGTGGACATCGCAAGGAGGACCTGAACGAGGCGCAGTTTCTCTGACGATATCTTCTCTTCAGATTTGCCCATTACTATTCGCTCGAGTTGATCAATAGTTTTATCCATTCTGAATGGGCGTCAGACGCTAATCGAAGGTCACGGTGCAACCGCAGCCATACCGGTCGTAGGTGACACTATTGGCCAGTTTCACAATGCGGACTCGCTCCGGTAAGTCAAGATCTTCTGACGCCGAGTCAGAACCATCCACTGCTATTACGATGCGCGTATCGGTTACCTGCTCGCCTTGTCAGCGTCTCCCCCAAATCTGGCAATGTCTACTCACTCGATAAACAACACCCTCGACTTTCTCCCGGTCCTGACTTGCGCCAGCCTTGGCCTTGACTGGAGCTTTCTTGCTTGTCGCCGCAACGTTCGCTTCTATCCTTGCCAGATCGCCAGTTCTGAGTGAATGGGGCGGGAAAAGCGGGCTGGTATGATAGGCCGATGGACGTTCCAGCTCAACCAAGCTACCTTCAGAAACTCAGCTTTATGAGTAGAGAAACTCATTGGACGTACGTTTTCCCTCCCAATCCAATGTTTATGTTGACGATACCCAGCCCTAGCAACGCCAGGCCTTTCTGTTCCAATAGTTTTGCACTACAGTTTGTGAGTAGCAGTGAGCTTCGTTCGATCTCTGCACCACGCTCTTTGACGAGGAGAGCTCTCTGGCGCGCGAAGAAAGCTGTCAAACGCAATTTTGAATCGGTGTCCATGATGGACAAAAGGAAGTGGTGAACGGTCACGAGACAGGTGTTACTTTTACTGGAACAGTACTGGAACACGTCGAGAATCAAGGGCGTACGACTTATGCAAGATGATATCAGTAAAGTAAGCATTACATAAATTGGTCCATAAATTCACGGCTACATAGCCCCCCATTGTCCCTGCTGCTGAGGCATATAACCCATATTCGGTGTCATTGGGGTCATCCACTGCGGACCCGTAGCTACCGGCATCGTACCCATAGTTCCCATTTGCATTCCAGGCGGCATGAACTGACTCGTCATCATGGGTTGTTGGCCCATTCCCATGGAAGGCCCACCAAATTGTGGTTGTTGTTGTTGGTACATCTGCGGCTGTTGCATGCCAATACCAGGGCTTGGTGTGTGCATTGGGACTGGCGAGGGAGTCATTTGAATAGGAGCAGGGCTACCATACATCGGTTGTACTGGCTGCGAGCCAAATGGTTGAGGTTGTGGGTTATATAATATGGGTGGTGAAGGTGCGGCGACGAATTGAGGTTGTTGTTGTTGGAACTGCATCGGAATTTGCATAGACTGGGGAGTCAAGTTGGGTGCAAATTGAGGGTGGGCCATTCCCATTCCCATCCCCATCCCAGTCGCCATCGGCATCATCTGAGGCTGATAACCCGTCATGAGTGGTTGTTGAGATTGAATGGGTTGCAGAAACGCCGGTGTGGGGTTTGCTTGAACTTGCAGTGGGAGTGAAGAGTTCATCGCAGGTGTTTGTAATGATATTAGATCGTTCCAAACACCGCCCAGTTGTTGGGACGATGACAGTTGTTGAGTTGGTGGTTGCTGCGGAGTCGGCGCAGGCGGGGAAGCCAGCGAGCTTGGAGGAGGATGAGAAAAAGATCTGCTGGTGCTGGGAGTGATGGTCTTTGGAGGTTCCGCAGCAACAGTGCTTGACCGAGGTGGCAGTCTGGATGTCGAAGGGCCTCCTGTCAACGATTTTGCCGCTGTAGACGATGATGACCTGGAAGGGCCTAGCTTGGATGCAACAAGCGCCGAGCGGTCGACAAAGCTCTTGTATTCGTATTTGGCTACATAAACGCCTTGAGCAAGCATGCTAGCAAGAACCCAGACTCACATCGTACGAATTGTTCCATCTCACTGTCGCGCTCTCCGTCAAGCAAGTTAGGCGGCGGTGGATGTCTCGTCTCGTTTGGGTTATAGATGAAATTCGAGTTGGCGTTGCCCATTTCGCGCATCCGCTAAGCCAACGAATGAATAAAGAAAAAGGAGGACGCACACAGAAAGACTCACGTCGACCTGCTCCTTAGTCCACGAGTCCATGGTTAAACTCTTCCTACACCCGGAATGAGACCATGGTTTCCCATCCACTCGTTACGCACACTTTGCTGACATGAGTTCCAATTTTTCGGTGTATGCTGGCGCAGTTGACGCTAATGACTTCATTGGTAAAAAGAAACTTGGTCGGACCAGTTAGCGCACCAGATGAAGATTCCGAGGTTATATGAGGCCCAGCGGGGATTCCTGACCTTGCAGTCGGCGCAAATGTCTGATGGTGTCAGTTGACGAGGAAGATGGGGGTTTGGCGACTTACCGTTTCCCGGGAGGGCAGCGATCTCTAGCACGAGCTTCTGGTTGCGGTCTGCAGCGAGTTTGTTGACCGACATGAAGGGCGGGAGAATGTAGATGTTTCCGCATTCGGATGGAATTAGGGTGAAACATGAAACATTCACAGATCAGTGATTCGTCCATAAATACTAAATAGATCATAGAAAAAACTTAATCTCAGATAATTCAGTCTATGCTTCTCCAACATCATTCTTAGTGCTGGCAAGGGGCAGTCCTTAACTCCCAGTCACTGTACTACATATTTTGATCAAGTGTTAACATTACAGTGGCTGAAAAACTCTTTGTCAAAAAATCACTCAATTCTAAGTGTAGTAAGTTCATCACAAAGCCTATTATGGGATAAAAGAAAGAAAGTATATTCCCCTCTGAAGGTCCCGAAACACGCGGTCTCTGTACCTACATACAAGCTCCCAACCATGTACGATAAATGAAGACAGGCTTAGACAGTAATCATTGTCAATGTGAAAACCAATGCATGTAACATCAGCCTGCATTTGCCTATACTGTGCAGGTACGGGTACGGGTAAACCCTAGAAAAAGACACGTACGGTCACATTTTGATGGAGAGATTGCAATTGCAGTTCTAGAGTAGGTACAAGTTTAAGGTGCTGTGCTTGGTTATAAGTTAATGAGTTAGTAGAATCATATAGTAGCGGGAAATTGAAAGCAACCCAGTTCTGCGAACTAGTCGCTATCGTCATCAACCTGAACTTCATGAGCTTAGAGTTTTGTACCCGGAGAAATCCTTACGACCATCTTTCCACGCGCCTTTGTGGCCGCCGCACGAGAAGACCGCGTTGGTGCAAATGATAATTGCGATTGTGCTGGAGCTTTCTTTTTGGTCGTCGCGGTAGTCTTTTTTGCGGGCCTGAAGTAGACAAGTGTGAGTATATAACAGACGATACGAAGAATAGGAAAACACACGGTTTCTTCTTTGGCGCGTCATCCGAATCACTATCCACCTCAATAATATCGTCCTCTTCAGATTCGCTCTAAAGCAGCGTTAGCTTAACACAGGCAGGATTACTGAAACTTACAACCGCCTTCTTTCCTCGTTTTGCAGGGGCCTTCTTGGCTGGAGCGGCTTTGGCTTTCGCTGTCGTTTTTGCAGGTGCTCTCTTCTTTGGCGGAGGCTCGTCGCTGTCGTCATCCGAGACATCTGCTTTGGCCTTGCCCTTGCCCTTCGCCGGGGCTTTCTTCTTTACCGGAGCCGGTTCAGAATCATCAAAGTCAGAGCCGCCCATAGGCTCGTCCCTCATCATTGAATCGTCCGAGTTGTCTGCGGCAGCGGCCGTAGATTTGCTCTTGCCCTTGTCCTGAAAACCTTCAGTTGCATTCGTTATGGGGGGAGAATACTATCAAACCTTGCGCGATTCTTTGATTTTGTCAGCATACTCGCGATCCTGTTGCGCTTTCGCATTGGCCAGCTATGAAAACATAAATGAGCGCTTCCGAGTCCCAGTAAACAGCCAACCAATTCTTCGACATCGTCGTCATCCATGTCTTTGTCGCCACCAGTTGACTGCGCACTCTTGGTTAGCTTTTTGAAAGCTTTAGTTACATATCTAGAGAAATAGGTCAGTCTAAGGAACAACATGGTCGGGAAACAAACGTGGCTATTGCGTGGATATCGTCTTTCTCGACGAACATCCCAATTGCGTCACTCATCTCCATTTCCCCCAAGAGTTGAAGTTCTTGTGCTTCTAAATATTGCTTGACCAGATTGGAGACTCGCACGCGAGCCAGCTTTTCAGAGGTCGAAAGCCCGGCCTCAGCAGGATCCTCCAGGTCTGGTTCCTCCGTAACAACCTTGCCTGCGCGAGCGCTCTTCTTGGCTCGGTGGAAGACCAAGACATCTCGTGGATTAGCTAAGCGACCAGTAAACTCCTGGCCGAAGCGCACTGGGTTGGACATTTCTTTGACATCGGTGGTGTCGACTTTCAGTCGGATAAGTGGTAGCATCGGCTCCAATGGCTCCTCCCCGTCTTCCACAGCGCGCGCGTTCCGTTCCTCCCACTGCTCGTTCGCCTGGTCGATGAGGGAATTGACCTTTCTCTTGAGGTACTTGTTGATCTCTATCGAGTCCGCGAGATTCAGCCCCTCCTCTTCTGCGACTTCCGTCATGACAATGCTCTCGATAACGAATGGCCGCACGGTCCGCAAAGGAATGGGGGTGAGCTCAAACTCTTTCCCTCTGATTTGTAGCAGTGCGACGTGTTTTTCGATGGCTTCTCCATCTGCGAGGGAAGTGGCTACAGACGATCCAGGTTGAGAGATATAGTATTGCTTTCCCGCAACAGGTTCCGGGACAATTCGACAGTCATGTTCGTGGCCCCAAATAACCAAATCAATCGAGTCGTCGAAGAGGCCTTCTGGAACGAAGTCTTGCGGGCCATGCTTGACACTAGAAAACCGTCAAAGCATAGGCAAGTAGTTTCCCAAGTACCACATACCGATTCTGGTGAAGCAGAATCATGTTGAACCACTTATTCTTATCGCGTGGCATATACATCCGAACCCTATTGCTCCGAAGCTCGAAATGCATGCGCTGATCTTTGACGTTTCCCATTCCATATAATCCAAGGTAGGTATTCCCTTTTCGGAGAAGAACTGGGCGGACAGCGATTCCAGTGGTGCCCGCCTCGGCGTCAGACACGGGCAGATCAATTTTTCCCATGTAGTTGATGAGTCCGGTGACAGATATAACGTCAAGCGCGCAAAGTGCCCCGTCTGCGCCAGCGCCTTGTGGGTCGTCGTGGTTGCCGTGGATGGAGAAGACGGGGATGCTAACGTTGAAGTTTGGGTCTTCATAGTTGATGGCTGGGAAGCTGAAAGCGCGTAAGTTAAGGCCTTATCTGGCGAGAAGAAACTGCAACACACGAAAACCCGTCTGCCTTGCCCTCATCTGGGTCACTTAGCAGTTCGACCTGAACAGGCTTATCTCCCAGCGTGTACTCGCGCAAAAGCGCGATGGTCTTATATAGACAGTCCCGCGAAGGCTTATTCTCGTGAAACAGGTCGCCTGCGAGGAGTATGAAGTCTACCTAAAGCAAGTCATTTCTTTGTTCAGTGGCATTAGAAGAAGTGATTCGAACGTCGTGTTTTACAGCAAGTTGGAGAATTTCTTTGAACGTGTTGATAGAGTCTGGTCCTCTAACAGGGTCGCGTTCCATATAGCCAATGTGGTTGTCGGTTGCAAGCATGATTTTGATCGTGTCGTCCGGGTCTGAGGCGCGTCAGAGGGCTTGATATAGGTCCATAATGCCTACATTCATCGCGGTCGGGGATAGTTGGGCGTGTACCAGGGTGTGCCTCGTCGTCGCTCATTTTGTTTCGCGTCGAGAAGAAGTGTGACTGTCACGTATTGCCTCCGGAAAAGGAAATCATTCCAATTTCCGGTCTTCCTCCACCGTCACGACAAATACTTGTCGTTGGCTTCTCCAAAAAGGCTTGCTCCTAGCTTGCAGCAGATACCACTACAATGCCTCCCGCTCCTCCACCTTCTCCAGCCTCTCGGCTCAAAGTGGTGCGCTTGAAACCGCGTTCACAGCCCCGCTGTTTTCTGAAGCCGTATCTAGGCCGGCGTCGTTCTCTTTTATATCGCGGCTGCGCTTTCTGTGAGTTAAATACCAAGAAATATCGTTGCAGTGAGCTTATATACCATAGATGGTCATGGCGTATGTCGACCAACATTTCACAAGGTCATTCTAACCTTCATTCAGCAATAAGTGGGTCCTCAATACGACGACGACGCCGCTCTTCTTCCTCATGACCCAATGCATCATTGCCGTGCTACTATTCCTTATCTCAGACGCCATGCGGATACTGCCGGACCGTTTGTCGTTCGAAGTGAGGGCTTGCAAGGGTTTGGTGCCGATGGTCAGCTTGAGCGTTCTTGGGCTCAGGTACGTTACCGTTGAGCTTGATGTCTAAATGCTAATACACTCAAAGCTTGAGCAACTATACTCTCAAATACGTTGACGCATCTTTCTATCAAGTGGCTCGTGGCCTCGTTCTCCCATTCACAGTTTGCGTCTCCGGTTGGATGCTTCACACTCGCCCATCCCTGCCTATACTTTTTTCTTGTGCAATCGTCACGGCGGGATTCTTCATTGGAGTGTTCTTAGACGGGACGCCACTGTCGATGGTTGGCGTTGGTTTTGGCGTCGCGAGCTCGACCATCACTGCAACACACTCGGTTATCATCAAGCAGAGCCTCAAGGTGGTGAACGACAGCACCATTTTGCTGTCGTGGTACACCAATCTGTTGAATGTCTTTGTTCTGCTTCCCATCGTCATGTTTGTGGAGGGCGGAGATGTCATGAAGCTTTTATTTGGGATTGAAGAGCTGGCCAAGGCACCAGGAGAATGGTCTGCACTACGCACATTCGTCTATGGCTCTCTCATTACGGTCAGTTTTTTGATATATTAGTTCGGACTAAGGCTAAGTGAACATAGGGCGTTGTGGGATTCCTTATGAGCTTGGCTAGTCTGCTCTCCATCAAAGTAACTTCCCCCATAACGCATATGGTCTCTTCTGCTGTTCGTGGCGTCGCAGCGTCTCTCCTTGGAATGTGGTTGTTCCATGATGTTATGACCTCGTTCGTCCCTTTCTGGCATCCAGCCTCTTTATCGCTCACCCATTTCTAGCGGCCGCGCATCATCGATTGCCATCATCCTCTTCGGTTCTATATATTATACCTGGGTGAAGCACAAGGAAACGGAAGCCGCAAGACCAGCCGAGTATGAACGTGTACGGATGTCTGAGTTGGAGAGTGGTCACCAGAAAGCGCCACCACAGTAATTGGAGGCAAAAATGGACGTTGAACGCAGGCGCCTTGGTAGTTTGTTAATTTATAGTAGACTGTACCTTCGGGAGCTAGACCTAATCATGTGACCGTCTTCACTTGACCACAAACCTCCATCATGGAAACTGCAACTCCGTTAGAGCAATACGCTGCTTTTGACTTTGCCAACGACGACGAATATCAGGTTCGCCCTCTGTGCTCCCTGTTGTAGGGAACCTCGGCTTCTTCGTCATTCACCAGAGCGGCCTGGACAGTCTCATCGCAGGAGGTGTCCTTGCAAACGACCCCCCAGAGGAGATCAGACAGGAAATATTTCGTCGGACGCGCGTATTCTATTTCAATCGGTGCGTTCGGTTTATTTTCCATCGCAGCGTTAACACCGGCTAGAGTGACTGAACAAGAGCTCTCTATCGACGCTGTAAGGGAATACGAGCTTTCCCTCTCTGAAGCACCACCACAAGAGGCGCAAAATACGTCCAGTATACCATCCGCAGACAACGACACCGATTCCGAGCCGGTCGTGCTTTCGTTTACTCAACTCAAGGCTCTCATCGAGGCAGGCAAAGAGGACGAGATACCCAACAACAAGGTCATTCCGGATGGACTGAATGTGCGCGACTCCTGTGTGGTTGGGTTAAACTGACATTGGGCAGGAACAACCACCCAGTATTTCGTCTGCAGCAGCCAAAAAGAAGCCATGGGAGATTTCCGCAGAAAATGTACTTATCGACAAGGGTCAATAGGGCTTGAGATCCCCCTTTCCTCGGCTGAAAGAATAAAATAAAATCCTTAAACCCGAATTCAGAACCCGTCGATCTGCGGTGACCAGCCCCAGGACTTAAGCTATGCTTTCTTCCAGTTTCCATCATCAACATACTGCGAACAGCTTCAAACAAGGCCTTCATATTTTCCTGCCGCCAAACCGCTGTAGTAGCATCGCAATCTCGTTCAAGTCTGACTGAGGTCATCCAAATCGAGAAAATTTAATGTTTTTTTTAGCCAGCCCTCATACGATTATATCCAGAATCCTTGGCCGTAATCAAGCGCTTCACCTATAAAAATACGAGTACTGCACATCTTGGATTTCCGAATATTCCATCCACTCAATTGTTGGGTCTGCCCCTTCCCAATCACCCACAGAAAAATACTCTTTCGATGTCATTTCGACCACAACACGAGTGAGAGGACCTCGTCGAGAGCAAATCATGGTTTGAAATGTCTGGTCCATAAACACGTTTTGGTCAAGCCCGAAGAAGAAGGTGGAAAGTTGAGGGACTAGAGCGGACGACTCGGGGCCATCTATCTTCATAGCCGTGAAAAGGCTGTTGAGGTCGTGGTCGTATGACCTATTGCCCTCTGGATGCTCCGAGAGACGTGTTTGGCCAGTTATAATCAGGACTTTCAACCGGGGCATGTAGCGGAGGAGGTCGACAAACTCTGAGATGATCATGCCTTCCTCCCGACGCTCTTCCTCTGAAAGCGCGAGAATGTCGAGTTGACACTGGGATCGCTTAAAGAACTCGGCGGCCAGGTCAAGATCTCCCGAAGTCAAATGAAGGCGCTGTAGCTCTGGCGTGGTAAAGAACCGCAGGACCACTGTTTCGAGAACGAACAATGTGCGCAACCTAGGCAGGGTTATTGTGTCCGGCTCGGGGTCGAGGAAATCTGGGGGCTGGACATTGAGAAATAATTCGACGAGGTTGTGAGCCAATTCGAGACTGGGAAGATGCTCCTCCAGGAGTCCTTCCATATAGCATTTGGTAACGCGATGCCATGGCATCTCGATATCATTGCGTTCCACCATAAAGTCAAGCTCGGCAAGACGTGGAACATCAGAAAAGAGGTCGACGGGAGAGTTCAGTGGGTGATAGCAACTACAACGCAGATTTTCGACTGTCGAGAGACGGCCCGAAATTGGCCGCAGAAAAGCGAAGAAAGTATCGACGTCGTGAATAGCGTAGAAGGCAAATTCCTTCCATCTGCCGCTATGCTCCATAAGCATGCCCATGAGAGATATCGTGGTGTCGACGGAATCCTTAGACCACGTGAAACTCACAAAGAGAGGAGAACGGCCAGATCGAGCGAGCTGTTCAGCCTGCGCCACAAAAGCGTGCTGTTGCCTGTCCGAGGGTGGCCTGGCCCGAGTTTCATGACCCCCCACGGAAAATCGCGACCACAAAACAGGAAGGGCTAGCGCTATATTCCGCCAATACCGACAGACAAGCCCAAGACGCCAGGGAGGCGGTCCCCTAGGCCGATGACGGCGTTGTGGCTCGCCATCCATTGCAACCCAAAAGAATATTTCGCTGAGGATCTCGGCAGGCAAGGCACGGGCCGGCGCAAGTACGAGCGTTGCTTTGTGTATATTGGCCGAAACGCGCCGATGCTCGCGATGAGTTCGTTCAAGTTCCATTCGAAGCGTTGTGATACGAGAGGCGAGGTGACCTGCATAAGAGTAACTCTCTGCCAGAATTGCTTTCATTTTTACACGTTCGGCTGGAGTTAAGGCAATATTGTTGGCCAGAAAATGATCAAGGTCCACATGATTTGACATTCCAAGTATCAGTTCGAGGCAATGAACTTGAAGAGTGGCGGCGAAGATTTGAGCTACAGGAGCGATAGAAGAAGCGTTGTGTGACTTGTGTTCGAAGCTGAAAGTTCTATCGACTATGAGAGCAATATACTGCGGGAAGGGAACCCGAAACTACCTGGAGGTGAAAGGTCAAAGAACAAGGTACTGTGACGGCGCATCACATGGCTTTAAATGGTGTGACTGGGTGTCCAACAAAGCAGTGAGGTTGGAAATCAGCCTTTTCTTCGGGGAGAAGCTTATAATTGCCCTATAAACATTGCACATCAGCATTACTCGGCAAAATATCTAGAATTCATGCAGCGACGACCACACTGTTCAAGTTTGACCCCGAAGATGAGTGCGAAGCGCCATTGGCAGACCGGCGCTTGCTTTGTGTCCACTATGCATTCCTTGTGCCGCGGCGAGCACGGGATTCTCATGTTCTTGCAGTGACACGGAACGGACACGCTCGAGGTTTTAGACGCTCGTAGTCACACTGGCGTCTACTAGTAGCTCGCTGTGAAGTTACGAGTCGCAACAGTGGAAAATTTCACAATTAAAAATCATTGGGCTTGACTCACACTGAAGCAAGCCAAGAGTAGCCAAGTCTTGAAGTATATGGGAGTTAGAGAGTGGACAGAGAGTTTCCTGAAACTTGAAGTCGATAGAGCTAAAACGAGAACAGACGCCCATCCCGCCGGTGAGAGGCCATATTTGGATTCATCCCATATCAAGAACAATGACCATGACAGTGTCTTGTCGGCGGGCTCGTGTTTCAAGTCGCATCGCTACGGCGTTGGCAGTACAAACATGTCTTCGGAGCCCAGTTGCCGGTCGTGCAGAACGTCGTCAAGAATATGAGCCAGTCCGGTAGAGAGGGAGCATCAGACACTGCAAGATGGATAATTTCTCCTCTAAACATATAAAGGAAGGGGGTGCATACAGGTGTTCGAGCGGTAATCCGCCGAGCAACAGAAGGTATTGCATCTACAATCTTATAAGCAACTTCACTAACAAACTGTAGTTCGTACCTTTGACCACACCAAACAATGTCCCAATATTACACCTATCACAATTACTCGTCTGAGACCGTAGGTGTTTCCCCGTCTGATTACTGAGTTGATTTTCACTCCTTCGTTGTAGTCATTGCGGTCCGGTTACAGTAGATCTTCAAGCCGTTCAAAGACTGGATGCTGGTCAATTATCTGCGGTTTTTTCGCCACTTTGACCTGCACGACTGTCAACAATGCTGCTTACGAAGACGAGTATTGATCTTCCCTCAGCAGGCGAGTCTAGCTGCGCTGGAGTGCTGTCACCCACAAAATATGATCGGCAAGAGCCTATCGTCAGATGCGATAATCACCTTGTACTTGACGAAGAAAACATACTTGAATTTGAGCCAATACAGAGGCGTTCCACTGTTAACACAAGCGTGTTGACATGCAGTACACCAAGGAACAGAGGTAGTATTGAGATAATAATTTTGCTGCCGTGAAAAAATAGACTCCCTCACCAACACATTCTTGAACATTCCGCACGCCATTCTTCATGGTCATTAGCCGTGCCTCGACAATGATAGCCAAGGATGCCGCCTCCGCCCCGCTTCAGCATGATAGAAGTGGAAGACAACAACCGTGGCGAGCTTTCAAGCTTCTGCGATAAGCTGTTGGAAGAGCCCCACAAGACTTGGAAGTCTGTGATACTGTCGGGTTAAGCGTTTCGGTTGAGGATAGAGAATGAACAGAGAACGCTTTCAGAGGCTAGAGCAGCGTCACAGTTCACTGCGGGTGATAACTTGATGAAGTCATACGATGATGAGAGCACCTCTTGAAGGATCGAAAGGGTTGGAAGAGCCGTGTCTTTTTCGCCAGTGGTATTTTGAGCCGGTACTGTGCGATAGTTCAAATCCCAATAGGAGTATCATGAGTGCCAATGGGTCGTCGTTGACAACTGTGACAAATCATATCCCGTGATCGTGACACCGTTTCCGTTTTCGCCGAATGTCCACTTCACCATCCTTGAATCGGCGGCCAACTTTCTGGCAATCCCTCATCGTACGCCAACTATACCTCTGATAGTGCAGCCTTCATTCCTCACACATTTAGGCAGGAGGTCTCTCCGGCACTGCTGTTGACCTGCTTTTCTTCCCGATAGACACACTCAAAACGCGGCTACAAGCGCCACAGGGATTTATTAGAGCTGGTGGGCTCAAGGGAATATATAAAGGTGTTGGGAGTGTCGGCGTAGGGAGTGCACCGGGAGGTACACCAATCCCAAAAAAGCGTGAACAGAGTAGCGCTCATTCTTCGCAGCGGCACTTTTCTTCGCCACATATGACACCCTCAAACAGCGCTCGCCGCTCCCTGAAAGCATGGCCTCGGTGACTCATATGTGCGCGGCATCTGTGGGCGAAGTTGTCAGTTATCACCATTACTTTCCCTTCGTTCTTGCTCACTGTATAGAGTTAGGCTGCGTGTCTAGTCCGTGTTCCAACCGAGGTCATCAAGACACGGGCACAGACCTCCTCTTATGGCCCCGGCCAATCTTCTTTCTCTGCAGCGCAACATATCCTCGCGTCAGACGGCTTCCGCGGGTTCTATCGCGGGTTTGGAATCACTATAATGAGGGAGGTATTCTTCTCATTGTTTTGGTTGTCTTCCTCTGACCCTCCTCCCGATGGCAGATTCCATTTACATCCATACAATTCCCTCTTTACGAACTTTTGAAAGCGAAACTTTCCATCTACACTGGGCGGAAACCACTATACCCACACGAAGCTGCCGTCTGTGGCAGCATCGCAGGCGGCGTGGCGGCAGCGACCACAACTCCGCTCGACGTCTTGAAAACGCGGGTTATGCTTGACATGCGCGTGAGTTGCAAATTTCGTGGACAAATTCGCCCTTCTGACATTTGTTAGGCTCTAGGTGACCGGTCTTCCGCGCTGCCTTCCCTTCTTACTCGGTTTCGCACCATATATAAGACTGAAGGCCCAAGCGCCTTATTCGCAGGTGTCCTGCCGAGAACACTTTGGATCTCAGCTGGTGGTGCGGTGTTTCTGGGCGTATACGAATGGGCGATTGGAGGATTAACGACATTGTAGACGAAGCAAGTTTCTACCAAAGCCATTCAACTGTCCTCGAGACGATTGACCTCATGTGTACCACATACCGCTACTCGCTATCTTCTTGAAGCTTTGAGTTGATGATGGTCTTATTAATATCTTCGTCGTTCTTATTCCTGGCTGGCATTTTTGAATACGAGATTAAGTTGTACAGTGGTTTGTAGTCTAAAGGTAGGTCCTAAACATTTCAGGGCCTTGTGTTGCAGGATCCGGTTACAGTCTCGTCAGAATTCCTTTGCGTGTACAAGTAAATCTGGATGGGTATACCACAACCGACGACAGTTAATCATCCTCACTAATAGTACTCGACCCTCCCCCATTCGCCTCCGCAATGACTTCTGCCGCGACCACCCGATTGGCATCGTCAAAGAATATGGCGCTGATTGCCTCCACCCCAGGCAGAGGAATGTACATAAACAGCTTTTCCGTCACAGGAATCCCGTTTTTCGTCGTCTTCACTCCACCTTCGTGACCAGCCAAAGGCGTGAAAAGCGTAGCGAATGTGCCAACAGTAGTCCGGCCGGTGACATGCCCGTTGTTGTCGAGCGACTCGTCGACAACCGCCCCCGTTTGGGTCAGGATGCGGTTCGTGTGTGTATTGCCGGAATAGTCGTTGATGGAGAACAGAATATTTTGCTCAAGGACAAAGGCATCATCGCGTTTGTGTAAATTCGGGGTCGCGGAGGACGCTGGCGTGGTTGTCGTGGTTGTAGTAGACCCGCTGCTGCCGCTGCCACTCCCCGTGACAGAGCCCACGACTTTGTTTATGTCTTGTCCCAATGTAGCGAGGACCGGATTCAAGTCCAGCGAGTCAAGCACATCTCCAATCATCGCCACAACATTGCTCAGTCGCGCCTCCAACAGCACTTTCGCTTTGACATCGTCAATCTCCAGCCTGACCCGATCGATGCTCACGTCAACACCTGCGTTGAAGTCTAGCAGCGCAAGCACTTGGGCACTGAGGTTGATTTTGGCGGTGATGTTCTGGACATCAATGGTGATGTTGTCGACAGACACAGAGGCGTTTAGAAAGACATCTGGGGGTGGGGTATTTGGGTCAGCGCCGCCCGCTGCACGCGTGTCCAGAGTCTCGTAGATGACAGAGTTGGGGTCGCCTCGTTGTTCGAGACTGTAACCAAAATAGCCGTCGTCCTGGGCAGACGCGAGGGGGAAAGAGAGACCAACGAGCGCAAAGGAGAGGAAACAAGGAGCGACGAGGTGGACCATTTCGTGGCGGTTGGGGAGAAAGACCGTGTGTCGGGGGAAGTTGTTGCCATGAATTGCCCAAGTAACGAGATTTTCTGATCGCCATAGATTCGCGTATTCCGGAATTGTGCATTTCTCGATCAATTGCGTAGTTTATGCGTCGTTTTTCTTCAAGAAGCTCTCCGGAGGCCGGGTGGTCGCCTTGTCGATGAAATGGCATGAGAGAGAGAGAGTCCAGTTGAAGACTGGAAAATCCGACCTCTCTCTCTTCCCCGTTCCCTGTCATGCTTCCCTCAACGCTCCTTTATCCATTTGCGCTCCTTCTTGCTTGCACTGTCGCTTTAGCGCAAGAATCGTCCACTACCACGCCCATCAGCAGCACCACAACTTCAACCACAACTTCGGCCACATCTACCCCAACAACCGACGACACGACTCCAGATGTCCATCTACGCGTCCCTCAGCTGCATGTCGGGCGAATCGAGCTTGATGTAGACAACCTCCAAGCAAATCTCAACCTGAAGGCCAAGGTTGCTTCGTTGGTCCAGGTCAACGCGGGCGTCGCCGTCTCCATCGAAAAAGTCAACATCACTATCTCACAAGTTGACGCCGAGGTTGAGCTGGTTGTCCGCCTAGGACACCTTGTGGATATTGTGAATCGTGTGTTCAAGAGTCTTGACCTCAACCCACTCCTCATCGACGTTATCAACGACGTGACGGATGTGCTTCGAGTGGTGGTTGGCGCGGTGGACGGGCTTATTGGGAGCATAACGCAGAACGGGAACGTGCTGAATTTCCTCATCGACAACCTAGGTAAGGATGGTGCTTGACAGCATCATGATTCTGCAAAAAAACTGAGCGTTTCTTCCAGGCAATATTGTGCAAGAGGTTACCGATGCAGCTGGCGCCGTCACATCCACCATTGTCGGCGACTTCAAACAAAACATGACTGCTACCGGCGCGGTAAAGCAGCTCGCAGACGGGCTCATCGAGAAAACCTTCTCATTCGCCCCGCTGAATGCGCTTGTTGACATTGTGTTCAACGAGGCCGGCCAGGTGGTGCAAGCCACGGTACAGAAGAAGGGCGGGAGTGGAACAACAACGACGACTACCACGACTTCGCCGACGCCAGCCCCGACCAGGGCAAAGAGGCATGGGAGGGCGGTTCACCAAGAGTTGTGAGTCTAGGCGAGCTGTTAGATGGGAACACAGGGAGAAAAGAGGGGTGCTTTTGCGGCAGATTGGATACCCACTTGCAGAATATACTATTCATTGTCATTCATACACGTAAAACCGAGCTGTAGGCTAGGCCATCTCTGTTGTTGTCCGTAGCGAACGTGGCGCGAGGAGTCGATTGATGGAATTTCATGCAAGCCAGAAGCGCCCACCCGCTTCAGCGTAAGTTGGGGTGGTGGCAGAAGTTGAAGAAGAATACTTGTAACTTCCAGTCCTTTGAAGGCCAGAATGGTGACGATCAATTGGCCAAGCACGTGACGTTTCTTTTGCCACTGACTTCCACCTACTTCCACAAACCACTCGATTTCGATCTGACTTTCTGACTTTCCGACTCTATGGAAATGTAAACAATCTCTGCCCACATTGCCTCGCTTCTTGCCATTACACTCGTGTTGGCACAGTTACTCCAAAGACACATCACCGAACCAACATCTTTCTTTCCAAGATACTTACTTCGACAACCCCTACCTCTGCAAGATCTGACTCCCGGCGACGACGATGACGGCCTCCGAGCTGGTAACATCTTTACTCGCCGACTCGCTGGAAACGTTCAAACAACGCGGAGAGCAAGCTCTGAACGAAGCAGTCAGTTTCCAATGATAATAATTGCGCATACTTCTCATTTTCGATTTCATAGCGAACGCGTCTCGAATGGTCTTGGGGCCTCGAATATCGAGGGTTGGATGAACACCTAGAACAATATCGTCAGCCGAAGTCTGTGTTGCTTACATATCCGTAGAGACTTACCGTATTTCTCTAGCAAGCTACATCGAACTTTTGACGGACGAGCGCGTCATTGTCATTCCCCATATCACAGACCTCCGGCGCCTCTCATACCGGAATAATCGAAAACGAATATTAGCTCGCCCAAAGCCTATATCTGAGATACGTCTGTCACTTGTCATCCCTATTTTTCGGCTGAAGCCCCCGTAGACTTATGATGCAGGTTCCCAGACCTTTGCCTACTTCGTGCTTGCTATGGACCCCCATAGCAATGTTCCACCTCGTCGAGTCGATTTGGATACACCTCCTCATATCGTATTGATTCGAGCTGCTGCAAGGCTTATACGCGCTTATGGTGGAAGGCCTAGAGGCAATGATTCAATCGGGCTGGAGTTGATTGAACGGACGCGTTTGGCAACCCACGAGGATCCCTTTTATTTTGGAACTGCCCAACTCGGTATCCTTCGAGACTTATACTCATCGTGGACACGGATGAGCTACGTTTCGCCCTCCTTCAAGTCAGGCCTATCAGACTACCAAACGCTGGTTGACGACGCTCCCATATTACCCTCTCCGAAGCGGCATCAGGCATATCCCATTGAACATCACCCGGAGCCTCAACGACGAGTCACTGCGAGCGAACTCCAGCAGGCCTTCAATCCACCTGTTGAACAACTCGACGACATGGAAGACTCCGGTTCAGATACCGAGGATGAATCTAATCCTGGATGGGCCAATGATCTCCAACAGTGGGCTCAGGTAGTATTGCGAGCGGCAGAGCATGACGAGAAGGTTCTCATCAACCACATTGTACCCGATTTGCGAGAAGGATCGAGGACACTCACGAGCGTTCATTTGCCCACGCCGGACTATCTTATGCGCAATAGGCGTCATTCTGTCGGTCCTTAGTTTTCTTTATATGCTCTGTTCCTTTGCTCCGCGTTTGCTATCGTGTTTTTGTTTCCCAATTGTACTAATTGTACTTAGCAACAACACTGATTCGTGTCAACCAATCTTACTTTTTCTTCTGTAACACGACTTTGGTTGGACAGTGGCAACAACGTCGAACGAAGTTAAACGAGCGTCGTAAACAAGAACGTGCCAATGACTAAGGAAGTAATGTATGCGTTACAATACTGGGACACAACTTTTGCCACTCTTTTGCCACCACAACCGTCAACGACATGAACCCATGTGAGCTAGTCGCGTCTTTGCTCGCTGACTGCCTCGAGACCCACGAAGGCCGGAACTCCTCCGCTTTGGAAGAAGCGGTTGGTCCCCCGTGTCCACTACACATTCACTGACGTCAATTTCAGCAAACTGGTCTTGAATGGTCCTGGGGTCTGGAGTACAAGGGATTGAGCGAACACTTGAAGACGTTTGGTGAGCTTTACTTTACTTCACTCCTTCGGCCTCGAGTTGAATACTGGCTAGCCGCCGCGGAAGATATTGAACTTTTGACCGACGAACGTCTGTTCGTGGCTCCCCATATCACAAACATACATGGTCTCTATTACGAGAAGCGACCTCTATGCAAGTTAGATGCCCCCATTGTAACCACCGTATGTTGCAGTCTTTCTCGACGCCGCCGCTGCGCTGAACGATAACCTGCTGAAAGCTCTAGTCACTAGAGCTTTCAGTGACTACGCCGGTGCCGAAGAATTCAGTTATTTCGTCCTCCCTTTCGACCCATCCAGCCCTTTCCCACCCTGCCGCATAGAACTGAGGACACCTCCTCATATTGTTCTCATTCGTTCTACTGCCAAGCTTATGCGTGCTTGTCAGGGCGGCCTTGTGTTGGATGACCCCATTGGCAACGGGCTGGTTACCAGAATCCGTGAAGCCACAGAACATAATCGTTTCTTTTTTGGGGGTGCACAGCTCCAGTACATGCGCAGCTTATATTCTAGGTATACGCACATCAACTTCATGCACCCATCGTTTCGGCCCAACAAGACAGATGAATGTGTCGTTGAACCAAGTTCTACCTTCCACCTTCCATTTTCCAAACTCTCGCCAGTACTTAGTGGTGACATCAACTTCTTTGGGCCTGAGCCTCGGCGACGGGCTACCGCTAGCGAACTCAATCGGGACTTCAAGTTCAATATGCTTGTCAATATGGAAGCGGAGGATTCTGGTTCTGAAGCTGAAGACGACTCCAATCCGACTTGGGCAATGGATGTAGAGCAGTGGGCTCAGACAACTGAACGGGCGGCTGAACACGATGAAAAGATGTTCATCAACGACATCAACCCTGACTGGCAAGAAGGGGTGAGGACGGTTGCGAGCCTGGACTTGACGAAGCCGGACTACCTTGCACGCCCTAGCACCCGACCTCTTTCCAGTGGTGCCTGATTTATCTCTTCTATCTACTGTCCACTGTGTTGCTTTGCATCTGCTCTCACATTGTTGTGTATTTTTGTATGGATGTCACGAGGGCATGACGTGACAACACGCGCTGCCAGGGTCCTAAAATACTTTGGGTCGTACACTGCACACACTCGACCGGCATGAGAAAACCCCAACGGCAGTCTTCAACCAAGTACATGACTTCTGTGCATCATGAACTGGGGAATCTGGACAGCACATTATGTAATCATATATTTTTACCACCAACAACCATGAACTCTTCGGAGCGAATGGCGTCTTTACTCGCGGACTCCCTCGAGAATTTCTTGAAGCGCAGGGGAAATATTCTAGAAGAAGCGGTGAGCCTCCCATGAGCTCCCCATCATCTCGCCTGAGCTATATCGCAGCGAACACATCTAGAGTGGTCTTGGGGGCTTGACTATCGAGATCTTGAGCAGCACTTGGAACAATTCTGTGCGTCTAAACTATTTTCTCCGTCACGAGCCTCATGGCGACCCTCCAGCAAACGAAACACTGGCAGAGCGGCTCCTGACCGACGAGCGAGTCATCGTGATCCCCCATATTCATGACCTGCACCATCTGTCCTTCCGGGACTTTAAAAGAAAGCGAGCCTTTGTGCGCCTACGACCTATACTAGAGGTACGTGCCTACATCTGCACCTGCCATCTAAGTTGAATCCGGCCCGTCATAGGCCTATTCTGGCGACCAAACTTTCAGCTACTTTGTTTTGCCGTTGGACTCGACCGACTCCATTCTACCCCATCGCCTCGAACTCGCTACTCCTCCTCATATTGTCCTAATTCGAACGGGCGCCAAACTGATGCGTGCCTATGGCGACGAACCGGTGGGTGACGACCTGCTGGGCCAACAGCTTGTCGCAAGAGTCCGGAAAGCATCGGAGACTCGGAAAGACCGTCGATTTGGGTTTGGCCCATTACAACTCAGCATTATTCTGCGCCTGTACTCAACTTGGACATACGTGGACCCTGTCCCGCCGGGGTTCAAAGCGGGGCTTGTCGATTATGCGCAAGTCGACAAGAAGGTCATCCAAACTCCGTATTCCCCTCAATATTCGCCAGCACATGTCGCTAAATACGATCCCGAACCCCAGCGGCGGGTCACTGCCCGTGAACTGAGACAAGATTTCAATGCCAAGAAAGAACCACTGGCAGATGCGGACGATTCTGGTTCAGAAATCGAGGATGACTCGAACCCCGCTTGGGCAAAAGACGTTCAACAGTGGGCTCAAGTAGTCTCGCAAACAGCGGAGCGCGATGAGAGGATACTCATCAACGATATCACGCCCGACAACAGGCTTGAAGGATCAAGGACAATCGCGAGTGTTGATTTGGCAAGGCCAGACTACCGCGTGCGCTTCAGGCGTCGCTCTATGGGCCCTTGACTCATTTATACCTACATGCTGCTCTGCAATTAGTCATTTGCTATCGTATCCTCGTGGATTATACTGGTCATGGCCTCGTGATGTGACTTGGCGCGTTCTATGTTCCTTCCACAGGTAAACCTAATAGCACTCTGAGTCGGAGTTTGGTCCACTTAAATTGGCGTGACGGGGGACAGCATAACTTCACATCACACGACGAACTCTCTAAGTTGGTGGCCTCTCTACTTGTTGACTGCGTAGAGCCTTCTCAGGAGCGAGACACCACTGCACTGATGGTCTGTTCCTTCTCTGATGAATCGTGTCCGAGTCTGACACGGCACTCCCTCCTCTTGTGTCAAGAACCTGTGAATTTAAATGCAGTGCATCTTGAACTGCGGATTTCTCAGTTAACGCAAAATCATCACATTAAGCTGCCGTTGGAAATTTGAGGGAAATCGTAGCATTCCGAGAGCCATCCTTTTCGACCTTCATCGACACATCCGTCGCGCCATCGTTGCCGACAGCCCAAGAAACTGGGGGGAACCCAGTTTCATAACTGATGCTCAAGTCGTCGAAAAGCAAAAGCCCGTTCGGGTAGTCGCTCCCCACAAACACGCCCTCCTCTTGCATCGAAACCACCATGACCGGCCGTGGCGCGTCAAACCCAATCTCCATCTCGAATGAAATGGCGTCCAGAACGTTGGTGAAGCAGGTGCCGAACCAGGTGAGATTGTGGCCAGGAACTTGTGGCCCGTCTGGGTCGCTACCAGTCCACATTTCCAGCCGGTCGCCGGAGTTGACGCGCGGGCTTTTCGATGGGTCTAGGAACTGCAGGTATCCATCAATTTGTGGGAACTCAATGAAGATTCCAACGGTCCAGAAAGGCCCGCCTTGAAGCGTGCTGGCGCCATACTGAACATCCGAGTCAGCTTTCTTGTTAGAATTCGGACCAAAAAACTGGCCTGGAGAGCCGCCTGCATATATGCGACAGTGTTTCCTATCTCGTCTAGTTGCCGAACCCCAGCGCCAAAGTAGATGATCTGGCTATCGAACGTAGTCGGCTCGGGAGGTACGATGATCGTGGCATTGAACTCTTTGAAAGGATCTGACGGACCCAGTACAACAGTAGCCTCAGTCGTGCTCAAAACCTGGCGCGGAGCGATTGCAGACTTGGTTGGATTGGTGAAAACATGGATAACAGTCCCGTTCTGAGCAACAACGTTGAAGTCTCTGCCGGATTGCTCCACGCAGGTTCCAGGCGGGACTCCAAAAGTGGATTTGCCAGAAGGAGTTCGTCCGATAGGCATAAGGGCGAATGAGGTTTGAGCCAAAACAAGGGCAAAGACGATCTGGGAAAGCATTCTGCAAATGCGGTGGACAGTGTACTGTGCTGATTTGGGTGCTTAAGTATTGCCTGCCTGACGTAAGCAATGGCGCTCAGTCGTCGAAGGTCCTTTGGTCCAGTTTACCAGTCTATGATTGAACCGTCTCCGCAGTGTCCGCAGCACTAAAACGGTATCGAGACATGAAAAAACTTTCGAGAACACGGCTTCGAGGACCGTTGTGAGAAGTGACTCCCAGCGATGGGTTCGAGACTGAGAAAGGAGTGCACTTGATTCTAGAGTAGTCAGCAATAGAATGTACTTGATTAATGCCACCCACCCATATCCGAGTCATATGAATGGAGCTGAGGAACTCCCAATCAACCATCCTGGTGTATTTGTTTTGCAGATGGGTATGCTGTTGGCAGTAAGAGCGTTCTGAATCGCAACAGTCTGGAACCGAATGACCACGCCCATCAAGTGGCGACCAACAAGTTATGCGATCGACGTTGTATCTTAATGCGAATGCGAGTTTGATGACTAAGCCACAGTGATCCTGGTCGGTCAACCAAGATAGTTTTGCATCTATGACATTTTCAATTCTTATGGTTCGAGAGCAACCAACATACGTACATTCAGTCCCCCTTTCTCCATCCGCCTCCTACTAGCACTGGCACTAGATTGAGTACTCGAACGAGTTAAAAAAACCCGGGCCGTGGCGAGTAGGCACTAATGCAAAGCACGGGTGCGGGGAAATCATCATCGTCAGTCTCTCTCACATGGAACTGAGGCCATGCCACGTATTCTGAGAGATGACCGCGAGGCACAGGGTCTGAAACCGCACTGTCGACCTTGAGCGACTGTCTTTTCTGATGAGAAGGAATCACACAAACCATTCGCACCTGCTATCGTACTCGTTGTTGTAGTTCATAGAAGGATACATAGACCGGGAAAAGGGATGCGGTTGGAGCCTGAGGCCGACAGTCGATATGGAATGCGAGCTTGGGTGAGCGACACCACGATTTGTTATCGCGAAATGACGCCAGCAAAGCGACACATGAAGAACCAGCCTTGGTGAGGGTGGGCTGGCCCGGCTGCCAATGGGACAGAAGGGAGAAGAGGTCAGGTCTTACCTGCGGTGTATTCAAGGCTTCAGACAATGAACCTTAATGCCTCCCTTCCGATAAGTCTTTATAGAGCAGCACATGAGCCATTGTGGTTGAGTCTTGGGCAAATGGGCGACCGCCGACGAGGTGGAAAGATTTCAAGCGAGATTTGATGCCAAGCTCAACTGACAACTGTGACTTTCGCTCTGACGCCCACTTCGAGCTCAGCATTCTTTCCGCTGGAAACCAACATGACTCGGACCGGGGACTTGACCCTTCGAGAATTAGGAATCGCCGCTTCTTCCATGTAGTTCGAGCAAAGTTCAAGATAATCTTGCAGGTCTGAATCGTAAAACTTGTTAGTACTTACCAACCTACTGTCGCAGTTCATCGCTCCATTATCCTCTTTCCCGCTTCACTGGCAGACTCTCTCTGCTCCGCAATCCAAGCTAAAGAAAACTTTCCCGTCTTTCACATCTCGCAACACTCCCGTGACGGCAGGTATGTTCACCTTCAAAGTGCTTACTTTTGAGTTTCCAATGGCTCCAGGGCTTCCGTCTCTCACACTCAGCAATCGTGGGTGCTCAGTCGCATGCTCATCGAGACACATGCGGCGCAGTCTGCTCACTCCGCAACAATATCTCAGCAGCGAAGAGACTCCCGCTCCAAGAACTCTTCAAGCTTTCTATCAAGTGGTATAACATCTCAGCCTCCACCGCCGGTCACGATTTTTCGAGTACCATAAAAGCGAATCATGGTCAGAGAATGACTTGATGCTTCTCTCTTGTGCGTTTGCGGCGTTCTTTGCCGCTCAGGTAGCCCGAGCTCTTGTCCCAGTGGGCTACACCCCAGCCGGAAAGCCGATATTCCAAGCACCAGCTGGATCGTCAATCCGGCAATCGGGCGAAGACTTGAATGTATTCGCACCAGACGGTACACTCATCCATGTCCTAAAGAGTGGGCGTGATGCGCAAGAAGCAACACACCGCTCACCGGGACCCTACAGCTCCGCCGAAGCCCTCGCCGTTGTCAATGTAACGGACGTTATCCAATCACTCACCGCCACATTCACTGTCCCGCCCGAGCCCAAGACATTCGACAGCCAACTTTTCTTCTTTGGCGCAGGCATTGGGATAGACAGCAGCGTCAGCTCGCTGTCGCCGCTGATGCAAATCGGGCTACAGGTCTGTCTTCTGACTGGGTGTCCTCCAAGTCATGAAGTCAGCAGCTCATCTTCATTCTAGTACGGTGGGACCCCCACCCAGGGGGGCTCGTTCTGGTCGGCGATCATATTACTCGAGGACATCGATGGTACCCTCGTCCAGATAGGCTTCCCGAGCGCCAATCCTATTCTCCAAGGCGGCGACCGTCTGACCGTCTCTATCACGCGGGAGCTCGATCGCGAACCGGCGGAGTGGTTCTGGTATACGGTTGCGTTTGACCACCTAAACCTTCCCTTCCCCCTCACCGCAGAAACCGTCTGGCAGAATAAGCCGCCCAAGGCACTGCTAAAGCTCGAAGAATACGGTGTGGTGCAAGCCAGCGAGTACCCTAGCGGCACGCTCGTCTTCGAAAACGTGAACATCAACACCACCACCGGTGGCTTCCCTTCTCTGTCGTGGCAGACCAGTGCTGAACCTGCCACTAATATTCAAGTAAATGTGGAGAGGGATGGGTCGCAAAACGCCCGCATTGCATTCCAATTCCCAGAGAATGTATAACTGTAGCAAATACTTATTCCGAGACCTTCGAGAATCATGAGCAAAAAAGTCATCCACTGGGTTGCTTCAAGTCGAGCATGATTCAGACTGAGAAGGCTGGGAGAAGACCTTTTATTCATGATCACTGATAAGAGTGGTTCTACAATCCAGCTCGGCAACTAAAGTTCAAGTTGTGTTCTTTTCAATTGCTTCCAGTTCCGGGAAACGAAATTGCAATTTGCGCGTCTTCAGACCCATCCTTTTCCACATTGACGGTGACGTTCATCGCAGGGTTGTTGTTAGCGTGCCATGACACCGGCGGAAAGCCCGCAGTGGTATTCAGTTTCACGTCCTCAAAGACGACTGCGCCGACGGGGTATTCGCTTTCGTCGTCGATAATGAACTCTTCTAGTTTAATCATCGCCTTTGACGGTGGTATCTCCCAGAACAGTGCCGCTGTGAAGGGCTTGGCGAGGTCCAAGTGGCCGAATGTAATACGGTACCAATATCCGTCTCCGCCAGTATGATTCATGTCTCTCGCGATGGAGACGGTCAGTTGGTCTCCTGGGAGGACCATAGCAGTGCCAAAGGGAACGCCGACGGAGAGAAGAGAGCCATCTGGGGCCTGAACTTGGAGCATAGCAGGCGACCAGAACGAGCCGCCCTTGGAGGGAGTCCCACCGTACTGGAGTGTAGATGAGCGGTGGGAGAAAATCTACAACAGGAAGACTGACCTGCAGTCCGCCTTGGAACAGTGCTGGAAGAGAAGGGTTGTTGCTGTCCATTCCAATGCCTGCGCCAAAGAAGAAAAGTTGGCTGTTGAACGTCTTGGGAACGGGGGGTATAGTAAAGGTGGCGGTTAGTGATTGTATGACGGCCGGTCCATCGACAACTGCATATGCCTCCACCGAGCGAAAGTGCGAGTCCGAAAACTGTCGGGAAAGCTTAGCGGCTGGCTCATTCCCGCCCTTGAAAACGTCAATGAGTGACCCGTTTGGCGCGAATATGTGGAGGTTCCGTCCCGAAAGTCGAAGAGACGATCCGGAGGGTGCTCGTAAGATCGTTTTGCCCGCTTGAATGTCACCCAGACTGGCAGGCGATAGGGCGAGAGCCGTGTGTGTGGCGAGGAGGGCCAAAATAGCACAAGAAAGATTCAACGGCGTCATGTCAGACCCTCAGAGCTGGAAGCAGCTTTATAGACTGGCATTCGGACTGAGATGGCCGCTGTGGAGGAGCTTAAAGGTTCAAGTTATTTGGCGTGTGGTCGAATTCAAAGAGGATCGACGGCCGTAAGATCCATAGAGTTTCGCTGCGCAGTATTAATTTCGCCAGAACAAGTGTCAAATCCGTCGAAACGGGAGTTCAGTACAACACTATAAATAGCCAGTCGATGTCAAAATCTGGTGAAAAGAGGTTACAGCGCGTAGGAACAAGGGCAATGTTGGTCGAAATGCTAGATTGCCAATGGCAAAAATGCCAAGGACCGTTTCACACAAAATTTGACAAACCAGTTGAACCACCGTCGTCAATCGCGAAGGACGGTGTCACAACTTGAAGGGCGTGTGGCCAGCATACTACATCGAAGTCGCACTGGTGTAAGGGAAGAACTCCGTCAGTCCCAAGCAGGTTAACGCCGTGACATGATCATGATGATGGCACATGCTCAAACTGTTAGCATCAATCACAGCCGTGATTCAAAAAAATGTTTAGTGGGAAATGTTTGGAGAATATATAAAGTTTTGGAATTGATTTTTTAATAACTTTGAGTTTTTCCTGCCCCAAAAATGCTGGGGTGAAAGGATTTTGAGGACCAAAATATTTAATGTTTTACAATGAGTTTTTGAGCCAAGAAAAACTTCATATATTAGAGCTTATTAGCAGCCTCAGATTGTAACAAAAAATAGTGTGTAGATCTAAAGGAAATCCAAGTGTTTCATTGCTCCACTAGGAAAATTTGGAAAGAAAATGTGCCACAGGGTGGCCGTAGAGCGGTAATGTGATGTTGACAGCCTGAGAGGCCAATGCTCTCCTGTTAATTCCCTCATGCCTCCCGTCTGACGGAGTCTGCTATGTCACATGCCTCTGGGCAACACATGCTGCTGGGGAGAGACAAAAGCTGTCAAGTGATTCAGCAGCATCACCGGCATCAGCGCCGGTCGCCCCATATTCGGATGACAGGAGCGGGCCGAGCGGCTGATAGCAAAACTCTCAAGAAAATCCGCTCTATCCCTCAAATTTTTGGAAGGAAGATAGAAGGGAAATAGAAAGAAAAAAAAATGTGTTTTTTCCAGCAGCTAATAAGGTCTATTCCCAGTAATGTTTCCCACCTAAACACTTTTAAATCACATCTGTGAATACCAAAATCAACAACACAACAGATGTGTTTGTACTTACTAGGGCATATTGGTTATATATTTCCATTTCATCTCCAATATTTTAAGTTTTTATTAGCTTTTTTTGGTTCTCTGAATCACAGTTTAGTCTAAACTATTCACACTACAGTCAAACCCCTCTTAAGTCATACCTCTCAAAAGGCATAACCCCTTTAATATCATCATTTTTAGCTTTCACTAGCTCTGTTTGCAGGGAAAAGTCATAGGTCCATGAAAAGGCATAACTCATATGTACCCAAATCAGGCAGAATAAGTTCTGATTCTATCCAAAAGAGGGCATTTCTGATGGTTTTGATAACATCAAGACTTATAAATATGTTGATTTTATCCCAAAATTGTCAGGGGAACTGTCAGGGGAACCCCCGCTTCTCGGCCTCCTTCGGACCCTCCGAACGCATCCGAGGCGCATCCGACCGGCGCCCCCTCGGACGCTCCGACCCACCCCGACCATCGTCCACGGCCTCCTTCGCCCGCACAATCACTGATCCGTCAAGACCCTCCCAACAATCACCTTGGGACAGAGCCTGCGACGCCGCTCAGGCCTTCTGCGCTCTACGTCGGCAGTTACGGACGACCAGTATATAGTTGGCGCCCTAGCAGGCGGACCCTTAGAGTTTCTTCTCTTTGGATCCTCCCCTGCTAGGTCGGTCCCTCCGTGTATTTCCTGTAGTCTTATTCACGCTTTGGATCCTCCCCTGCTAGGCTTTCGTCGGAGTCTCCAGGGTTGCCCTTACAGGAACTCCCACTTTAGCCTCCTTCGGACCATCCGAGCACATCTGAGATGTATCTAACTGGTGCCCCTATTGGACGCTCAGGCCCACCCTGACCATTTTCCATAGCCTCTTTCACCCACATAATCACCAATCTGTCAAGACCCTCCCTACAGTCACCTTGGGATAAGGCCTGTGAGGCCAGCCAGGCCTTCTGTGCCCAACAACAGCAGTTATAGAACTTACAGTCAACCAATATATAGTTGGTGCCCAGCAGGCAGACCCTTAGAGTTTCTTCTCTTTGGATCCTCTCCTACTAGGTTGGTCTCTCTGTGTATTTCTGTAGCTCTTATTCACACTTTGGATCCTCTCCTATGTCAGGGGAACCCCCCCTTTGGCCCCTCAGAGACGCGTCTGACTCTAGTCCAATTCCGGTTCCGACTCCGGTCCGGCCCTCCATCTCGCCCGCACAAGCACCAATCCATCAACGCCCTCCCAATGGTCGCCCTGGGACCTCGCCGGCAATGCCGCTCAAGCCTTCTGTGCCCGACAGCGGCAGCTACGGACAAGATCCGCAAAAGAAGAAACTCTAAGGGACCACCTGTCAGGAACGGGCCGGCCCGGGCCCACGTGACGGTCTTCTGCCAGTCTGACAAGTGTGGGAAAGATGGTTCAACCCCCATAGCTGGGTTGTCGGCAACCAGGCAGCGTAGATGGTGCCACTGCTGCAATAGAGAGCAGCTCATTCACTCAGGAATACTAATAAAACTGTGGCTACTGGTGAAGGGCTGTACTCATAAAACCTGGGGGAGCTCATGCCAGCCATGGCCGGAGTATTGTGACAAAAATGTGATATTCAATCAATTGTGAATATCTCAATGAGTTTGACAGCTATGACTAAGCTATTACCAGATATGGAAAGGCAAATCACTATTCTTTCAGGCCGAAGACCCGGATAAACATCTAGGTAGGCCTGTGATCTAGGGCAAAGGTATACATCCTAATTAGGCTAAAATTGATGTATCCTGACATAGCCATCAATGGTACTGATGTCCATCAAAAATCGTTTCACATTGATCACTTTATCTTGATGCCATCAATCCCATCATCAATAACATGATCTAACACCCAAAAATGAATAAAATGGTTTTTTTAAAAAGTGTGACGTTTGTGACCCTTGAGCCCTTCCCCAGGTTTTATGAGTACAGCCCTTCACCAGTAGCCACAGTTTTATTAGTAAAACTGAGTGCACATCCTGTAGAGAGCAGGGTAGGGACAACTCGGGGCGACTCGAGACGCCCCGCTGTCACGTTGCGTGACAGCGGTGTCACAGGATACGAGTAGTCGTCTAGAGTGTCCTACCCCTGCTGAAGGGAACGAGTCCATAGCCAAAGAGTGCTGCCTAGTAGAGTCGGTGCCCAAGACATAGGGCAAGGCATAGACTGGGCCAGTTGAACAAGCCGTTCGGGCGGGGCATGACATAACGCGGTCACGCCCAATGGTTCAGGGGGTCGAGGGGAGTCACCCCGCGCAGCAGGGGCTGCGGGCCCGAGACCCCTGGAGCGCTTGAGAAGGGTTGCCAGTCCAAGGGGCGACATATCTCCTTTCCTGGAGAAATGAGTCGCTGTGGCTCCTAGACACCGCGTGACGGCGCGGTGTGACGCGTGACATGCGGGCCCGATCGGGCCCGCACCCTCCCATCGCCCCGTACCAGGGAAACCCAGAGCTTGAGGCCAGAGAGCAAGAAGAAGTGGCTCGGACAAGGGTGAACATAAGAGACAAGAGCCTGAGCTGTCCAGCCCAACCAAGGGCTCAGGTCAATGAGGCAAGCTAGCCTGCGGTGTTGGAAGTCGTCTAGACGCCCCTTTCCTGGGGTATGGTTGCAGCAACCCCGCTCTAGGGGACCAGGCCGGAGTAG